CAGTACTAAAGACAACTAAAAACAAAAACCACAAAAGGGCCCTGACTAATAAACACAGTCAATTTACATGGAGGACCTTTTCTAGCAAATGCACGTGTGACCAGGATGCCTGACTGCACTGGGCCTATACAAATATCTAATAGCTTCTGGAACATAATGTAGATACAGTACTAGAATAAAATGCTAAAGGTCAAGTGAGTTGTGGCTTACTTAGGGAAGAGGGAGATGTGAGAACTATATTCTGCATAAGTAATGTGGCAAATCGTCAAGGAACATTTAGCAATGCTGCTTCCTGACGTTTTTACTGGAATTTAAATTACCTCTATATAATATCTATATAGCCATATAAATATCTCTAAATATCTCTATATGGCCATAATGAAAATAACCCAAACACAAAATAACACGGAGTCTGAACCAGTAGGTGTAATACCGATTTATTTACCTTTTCCTCTATGTGCTTGATCTAATTGTACATATTATTTTTTTGGATACCGTGTTATTTCGTGCTTGGGTTATTTTCATTATATCTTTTTCTCATATATATATATATATATTTCTAACTCTGTGGTTTATCTCACTATTTATACCTTTTTACTAAATTTAAATAAAAGTTATATATTAATCAGTAAAGATTTACACCACAGGTGTTCTATTTTCTCAATTTAAAAGCTCAAACCCCTTGGTAGACCCTCTCTCTATCATAAGCGTTACGCTGTTACAGTGTTAGACAAGAAGTGGTATTCTATATGCCCATAATGCCCTCAAATTTGGAGGGAAGGGGTTTAACAAGATTTGTTCCCAAACTGAACACAAATTGATAACATTTCCATCATAGTTTATATGATGTCTAAATGAGAGTTTTTGATCTAGCACCATTCCAAGATATTTATTCGGGTTGAACTGGGGCAAAATGTATAATCTCATGTTGTTTTGACATCTAACTTGTTATTGATTGAGCAATTTGTGCTTTGTTCTACACACCATTGAAGCTTTTTGCAAGTATTTAAGAGCAGTTTGTTTTGGCAGATCCATCTGTCAACCTCTGATAAATTCTGCCGTAATGCAGTCTTGGAGTCTTTGTTTTCTTATAGTAGATTATTGAAATGTCTATGTACATATGTACAGATGAAGTTTTACACACACACAAAAAAAATCATTTATAAATATGGAGTATAGTTGGGCCCATTGATAGAGCTCAATTATGAAGTAAAATAAATCAGTTATAAAAATGACTTCCAATATACTGTACAAATTATATAACCAATGCACTAAAATAATGCCCAAAAAATGACAATATTAAAAAAATACAATATAAAAACACCTACCTTACAAGGTGGTAAAGAGGGGCAGATTAGAGAAGATGACTACAAATTGAGACAGACCCTCACTTCCCAGGAAGATGCTCCACCAATGAAGAGCCTTTTATTCTGGTCTTTGAGGCCTGGCCAACAGAGCTTATATGAAAAACTCCTAGTCACAGCTCTACTAATTACATAGGATGATAGATATACCACTCCTATCAGTTTTTACAAAATATGGCTCAGACACCTACATTCTTCCAGGCCGAATGTTTAAGTCCTGCCCAACAGAATGAAGAATTTATAAGTGACCTAAAAACTTACTAACTATTGCCAGGCTGAGTGTTCCAGGTATAGATGGTCCATGGAATGCACAGTGGAGCATAGTGTCCAGGAACTGAAGAATGGGAGAGCAGTACGAGACACATATAGAGATCTAAGCAACGAAGAAAGAAATTAGAGACAAGAGAGGGAGCAGCTGGGGAACATGCAGTACAGCAATTGGAGAAGTGGTGGACCTTTTAAATGGACTCAGGGCGGGAGGGAACATATTCGGATTTACTGTATTTTGTCTTGTTTTTATTATATGATTTTTATGGTCCTTGAGGAAGTCTTATAAGGCTGGAGATGAAAGGCGTAGGACCTTTTGGTTTTTTTATGCTTTGTTACTTTATCAATAAATATTTTTGTATCTGAGCCGGCTTATGAGTCTTTGGGAAATCCCAGTGAAGGAATATAGAGAGTACTGAGAGCCCCTAGCAACATCAAGGGGAAGCACCTTTTAAGCACACATACGCAGCTATATTCTGAGTGTGGTGCATGTCCAAGCAGGGAGTAGTCTTTTATTTGTTTTTCTATGATCCAGCTGAAGCCTCATGTTTGTTGTGCATACATGACTGGCAGGTAAACTGGCATACATTCATGCCAGGCTGACCTTCCAATTGTTTGGGCAGACCTGCACCTCTTTCTGGGTGGGTCCACCCCTTTGGGCGTTGCCAGTGACAGGATTCACGTCACTGGCTGACCTCATTTTACCCCACCCACTGACGTCCTGTTTCACAGATTGCAGATGTTGGGGGTATGGATTTGAGGTATGGGTATACTTATACATGCTCTCTGTGTTTTCTGTCAATAAAATTCTGTAAATAGGCCCATCGTACTTGTCAGCACCAGGCCCAATGGGCTCTTAATCCGGCTCTGCTATTGGTGTCTATTAAACTCGACCCCATAGATGCACTGCCTTGGCGTGCTCTTTGATTCCAAATTTTCCTTTACCCCTTACATAAAATCAATCACCAAATACAGTCACTTTCATCTTGGAAAAATCCCCCCACCCCACACCCCCTTTCTAGCTCAGGATGTAACTAGGATGCTTATTCATGCTCTCATTGTTTCCTGCCTTGGTTATTGTTACCCTCTGCTTGTTGAACTGAAATGCGCCCAGATTGCCCCTGTACAGTTTGTGATGAACGGCTCTAACAGGCTCATCTACCTTACGTCCAGCAACTCTCTTTACTCTGCCACCGACCTGTTACTGCCTCATTCTCAGCTGCGAAAGGGCCCTTCACTCCAGGGGGCCCGGCCACCCTGCGAACCCCTGCGACTGTTGTGCCCGCCGCCATGTGTTGTGGCCCTGGACGGCATGGTATAACTGCCGGGACGCACATTAAGGGGCCCATCGGGTGGACCATGCTGTTAGGGCCATCCGCGATGGCTATGGATTTCCAGGGTGCCGGTCAGCGATTTGATGAGGTCAGAGGCTGGGAGGAAGTGACAGCCACTTCCTCCCAGCAACCACCAGGAGCCGCGTAGGAGGAAGGAGAGGAGGGAGTCAGAGTGGGAACTCTGACTCCCATCAGGCTGAGCCACCACTGGACCCCAGCGAAGTCACCTTCCTGCACCTAAAAGGTAGGAAACAGGAGGGTGACTAAAATATTTTCTATGTGTGTGTGTTTGTTTGTATGTATGTGTGTGTCTGTATTAATGTTTCTCTGTATGTGTCTGTCTGTATGTATGTGTTTGTATGTATGTGTGTGTGCGTGTTTGTATATATGTGTGTCTGTATGTCTGTGTGTTTGTCTGTATGTATGTGTGTGTCTGTATATATGTGTCTGTGTGTGTATGTATGTGTGTCTGTTTGTGTGGGTATCTGTGTGTACATGTGTGTCTCTGTATATGTGACTCACCATTGTTTCTAGATACGCCTCTGCTCATTCTAACACCCAAACCAAGACTCACCTCAGGGTAGCCCGTCCTTATGGAATACCCTTCCGAGAGACAACTGACTCTTCCCATCTCTGCAGTCCTTCAAAAAGTCCCTTAAAATAAGCTCCTTTAGAGAAGTCTATCAGCTCTCCTCTTAACTCTTTATACCCTCGCAAACACCTCATCCATCCTCAGGTACATTCAGATCACTTGACTCCTTTACTTTCCATTGTGTAATTGTCCCTCATCCATTTGGCAGGGCCCTCTTCACCTACTGTTCCCGTATTTCATACGTGTTTTGTTAGAATTAAATGTTTTTTTTGTTTACCTATTGTACAGCGCTGCACAATATGTTGGCACTATATAAATAGTTGTAACAGGAGGTAAAACCACCCCTGACATGTCAGTTTGTCAAAATGATGTTGGCCTTCTGTTAAGGGAGAAGCACATGATTATACAGAGAGCACACAAGATTGTATCAATAATATGAATGTAATACGTCTATTTGCTCTTCTGCAATTTCTCGGTTATGTGGGTGAATGCTCACGTACAGTGAGCAGTATGAAATGTGGGAACTTGGTACCCTCTGCAAATATAGCAAAGGGAACAGATTTTTTGTGGGTTCCTGTTGTACTAGAGCCTTGCTCCTAACACCACTGATCCTATTACTGATATGTCTTCACTGACTACAGAACCCTTCTTAACAAGGAATATATAGATTGTACCATAATATGGCCAGGGACTTCTTGCCACCACCTGACCTGGTTGGGTAGAGCTACCAAAGTAAATCTAAGCAAAATGGAAGTAAAAGGGAAATATGCATTGAGACATTGGTTTATCCAACCATCCAACAAAGAGGACCTCACAAAATTTCAGTTACTAATGTTATATTGTCGATTGCCATGAATTTCTACATTGCATTTTAGATTGGCCATTGAGTTAAAAAAATTAGTAATATACATAAATAAAATGAATAAACCTGAGATGGTCCCTGTGGCTTATTTTTCCCACTCCTTTGCTTTGGTATGGGAAGTGTTTTAAGTGTGTATATTAATTGTTTTCTTAGGAGAGGGAGAATCCACCACACATCTCACTTCTGAAATCAGTTGACAAAGGGGCTTATGTATAAAGAATGATTCTAAGTTCTGAAAGTGGAGTAATCAGCAGAGACATTCCATTGGTTTCCGTGGTGACTGGCCTTCTTTTAGAACTTTGACCCAGAATTTGCTTTATACATAACCTACATTGCATGCCACCACTTGGAAATTGCTTAAATTAATTATTTCATAAATCTGATGGCATTATTTTTGTTGAATGCAACACTGACTTGAAGATCATACTGTTTGATATTTCAATCTCCAAAAGTCAATAGGATTATTATATTAGGTTTGCAGACTCCATACTTGTCAAAAAAAAAAAAAAAATCTATTTTTTATTTTTTTTTATACAAATCTTTTGTATCCTCCTTTGCATTTAAATCCCCTTCACTCCTCCCCCGCCTCTGTAGGAAGAGCCTGTTGGTGTGTGTGAGAGTGGCTGGCTGTGCTGCTGCAGACTGACACTCTGCATTGTGTGTGTCTGTTACTGGGTGCTGCTCACAAGACATGCTCCATCTCAAGGCCAGGGCTGGCAAGTAACCAGAGGGCTTTCTGAGTGAGGAAGGCAGATTGGGCTTGTAGATCCGTCCTTGTTTTATTTTTGGGGGGAGGATATTGCATCTGGTCACCCATATCCTCTTCCTCCTCCCCTCTCTGGTTTGGTGCAGGCTCTGTGTGTGTGTGTGATCTCGCTATGTCGGATGACGATTCCAGGGCCAGCACCAGCTCCTCTTCATCCACCACCTCCTCCAGCCAGCACATAGACAAGGAGCCAGGCTCCAACAACAACTCCTCCAGCGGCAAGAAGAAGGAGACCAAAGTCAGTATGAGCAAGAACTCCAAACTCCTGTCCACCAGCGCTAAAAGGTAAGTGCCCCCTCCCTTGTGCCAGCATGCTTTGTGTGCTGCTCATAGGAAGTGCTGATCAGCTGGAGGGGATCATCATCCTCCATGATTAGATACATTGTATCCCGGGCTGAACGTTCCATGCATTCTATACGGTCTGTACCCAGAGCAGGGGGAGCCAAGGCAGTCACACCGTGCCCACAGCCTCACCTCTCCTATTCCGGCAGTGAACGGGTTAAGCTCATGGTGTGGCCTACAGACATTGCACACACAGGCAGTGCCATCCTTTGTGTGTGTACATAGGGCTAACTGTGGTTCACGTTCACAGGGGCTGCTTTTTAGCAAGGAGTAGGGTCTCCTCGGGACAATAGAAGGCAGTCTTAGAGGTTTGGTTGTTTTTTTTCAGGATGTAACATTTTTTACAATTTTTTTCAAATTGTATTTTATTTTTATTTGTATGCAACAAGACAAAGTGTATGCGGTCCCTTTAAGTAATCTCTCGGCATGCCTGTTTAACCCTTAACGTGTCCCCTGTTTTAGACCCCCCACTCATGCAACACGGGGGCTAAGGGGGGGGCAGGCGGCATCGAAGGGGTGGAGCTCCAACCAGGTCATTTAAATATCTCGGCTCCACCCACGCCTCATTTGCATGTTAGCTTTCAGGGGACCCCTTGCTGTGCAGAACCCCCATCCCCCCAAGGCCGCCCATTGTATGGGATACCCCTGGCTGTGTTACTTTGTACGGGCGGGGGCAGGAGACCCACTTGTCACCGGTAGGGGGTTATTTTAAAAGCCTAAGGCCGCCATTGGCCCCCTCCCCCCCTCCTAAATGGTGAGACTTGGTGTCTTCTGTTTTCCAATGGAGGACTAGGAAATCTGTATGTAATCTCTGACATATAGGAAGCTGGATAATAAACCATTTTAACCAGTGTTATGTGTAGGCTTCAAGCTGTGTGAGCAGTAGGGATGGTCAAAAGGTAGATTACTCGGTTGTTGTAGAACTACAACCCCCATGATGGTTTGCTATGGCTTCCAGAGCATTGTTGGAGTTGGAGTTATGCAACTGTTAAAGAATCAGCCTTGTGGCCACTAAACTACTTCCTTCACAGCAGCTAGAGTGTGGCTGGCTGAGCATAGTGGGAGCAGTGGTGTCAGATGGGTTAATACTCAGCACTGAGGTTACGCATTAGAAGTAATGATCTGCTATCACAGCTGCCTTGCATTTTTACCTAAACACAGATTGATTTTGATACAAGACAAACAAGGGTTACTATTTTTATTTTCAGGATGCTTTGGTATGAAAACACAAATTCGAAACGACTTTTATAAGCTCAAAGGGGAATTGACATTTGAATTGGCATATATTTGTCATTGTGGAACTGAGATAAGGATTTACGATTTTCTTAATGGCATTAACTTCGGCTATTAAACAACTGGAACTGAGGCTGAATACATGACCTAAGTCGATCTGGTGGTCATTTAAACCACCATCCAATTCAGCCACTAATGTCTAAACCAACCAGTTATCCACTATTTGTCCTCCCAACCACATACATAAAATGACAGGAGGGTGACATACCCCTAGAGACCCCAACTTTAATGTACTTATACAGATTAAATACAATTATTATATAGTGCCAGCAGATTCCACAGTGCTGTCAAACATGTAAACAAGAGAGCCCTGCCCCAATGATCTTACAATCTAAAGGCTATTAAAGGAGTTTGTACAGAAAACCCTTTCAGTTCTTTAATCTGCAACAAATTACTTCAGCCCATCTCTTTTTAAACCTCTGATACCTGACATTTTCCCTGTTTCACTATTAAAACCACTAGCTACCAAATCATAAATGTATAGTAGCCAAGTACTATCTAGCCTTGCCGCGCTAGCTCCTGTTCTCTTAAATATTCTTGCTTTTTTCATCTCTGTACATACAACCCTGCAAGGTTGAATTCCTTAAATCACCGGGTGGGGAGGAAGGAGAGGGATTGTTTTTTGTTGTTGTTTTTTTAAATGGACTTGTCCTATGTCTGGTTTGGTATCTGCATTTCCTTTAAGAACCAGAATCTATGTAACATGTTGACAAGAGGGGGGAAAATGAAGTTAAAATCAACCCGTTTCATTCAGCAACTCAATTTTTGTTCTTCAAATCCTGCTAGACATGTAAGAGGTTAATAGGGATTTCTCCACACAAGGGCATACCATATGGGACATTTCCCATCATTCTACTTCCATTAAAATTTTATTATTGGCAGGGACTTGGAATCCAGGTCCCAAAATTGGGTCCACAGGCTGTTTTCAGTGGGTATTCATCAATTGGAAGAAATAAAGTTTGCTCATTAGGCCCCAGACATTTACCCAGTTATGTCTTCCTGCATGGACTGAAACTGTGTAGTCTAATAAAGCTTTTTTTATTATATTTTTCTATTATTTAAAGCATGAATAACTGAGAAAATTGGGTGGGGCTTGCACTTGCCGAGCCAAAAACAGACAGACCTCCATTACTGTCTTGGCCAATTTTATGTATTTTATACCAGACTTGCTAAATTTGAATTGTGCCTACCCACAGTGAAGGGATAGGGCAGTGATGGCTAATCTTGACACCATAAATTGTTTCTAGACTACATTTCCCATGATGTAAACTTTAAAAGCTAGCTGAGCATCATGGGAAATGTAGTCCAGAAGGAATTTATGGTGTCACGGTTAGCCATCACTGGGATAGGGTGTGAACATTAAGTTTAGGCAGAGCAGATTTTTGTTAATATAGGCGTTCTAACAATCTCTATTGACTACACCATACAAGATTGCACAGTCCACCTTATGTAAATTGAGCTATCAGCCACAAGCAGCATGCAACAAATATCTGATGCAGGCCACTAAATGTTTTTCTGAAATATCTTGGGCTATTGTGAAAGACTGTCTCCAGACAAGCCAACACGCAGTGGATTCATTTTGCATTTAAGACCTGATGTCAAAGTCAAAGCATAGGAGCAGGAACCCGAGTGAATGAGGGAAAAATGGGGGGAGGGGGTGGTATGTTGTTGGTGTAGCTTTTTATATCATATGTTTCACGGTTTAAAAAAGATAAGAAAAACAAACATATTTTAGGAGCTGGATATCCTATTCTAATAATAGACTCACTAATGCCTCTAGAAAACCGCATGATTTTTTTTAATGTATGCTCCCTAAGTGGGGCTATGATTGCTATGAAATGCTTGCCACCCCAACACGGGCACCATTGGTGCAAAACCAAAGCTGGAAGCCTCAAAGCGCAACAGTTTGCCATAATGGCACTAGTGAGCTCCTTGTCCGAGGAGATACAGCAACTCGCACAGTAGTAACGTTGTTCAGTCACTAGGGATGAGATCTGGAACAGGAATCAAGCAGTCTGAGTATGATGGGCTCTCAATTTTCATTTACCTTCCTTTTTTTTTTTTTCCTGATGGAAAGACACAAACAGCTGCCAGAAACCGAGGTGTTGCAAGCATGTGGGAAAAAAATCATGGTGGGGATCTCCTTTCATTCAGTATAAGTTCTACCCTTATCCTTCCGTTTCTTGTCGATTTAGAGGCCTTGTGATTGCTGGAAAACTTATTGTTTGTTAATGAATACATCTCAATGCTCAAGCAGCCAGTGTCAGGGTTGCATAGAATTAAGCTTACTTGGCAAAAAGACATGCTGCCCACTCGTTCACCTGGCCCCATCTCCCTCCTGTGTCAAACTCTTTATGAAATACTCACATTGGCAGTGTTGGAATTTCACTGAAACTCCAATCAAATCGAAACACATACCGAGACAAAATAGGGGCTACTTTGTCTTATGAATTTTCTCTCCACTTGACCAAAGTGCAGATACTGCCATCAGGTTTTGTCAATTTGTCAAGGACGTTTGTCCTTTTAATATCTTTTTTAACCATTTGATATGACATTTCTATAGAAAGTTGTTTACATAGTTAACATTTGTATGTATTGGTGGTTTGGTACTTTGTCTATTGAAATGCCTAACGGAAATTTAAATTGTGTGTGAAAATGCAACTGCCAAGCACATAATTTGATCCTTGTCAAAAAGGTAGTGAACCATTAATGTAATTAGTGCCAACCCTTAGTGCCCAATTCATCAGTGCCCAATTTTTGGTTTTTAGGGTTACCTTGAAGTCGGCTTGTGTACACACAGACAATTGCAAAGGGAATTTCCACTGACAGCACTACAAAGATCAGTTGTGTTTGAATGCAACTATTTTGTAGATTATTGTGCAAATTATGCTCTTTGCTAGACTGAATTGTCAGCTCATGTTATGATTAAATATAGGTCTTAAAGCATATAGAATTATTTTGATATTACTGCCATCTAGTTATCTATGTCTTTAATCCTCATTTAAGGTCTATTGTGATAATACTGCCAAATCTTGAAGAGCAGTTCATTGTTTTCAAAGTATTTATGAAGATATTGGCCAATCAGAATCATAAGCAGACTATATCAATCTTGAAGCAGGACGAAGTAGCTCAATATTTTAAAACTCATAAAAGCACGTTATGATAAGGATCATTAGATTTCAATAAAAAAATTTGCTAAATACCAATAAGCTATTTTAAGAACCAACAATTAGCCAGCCTTGTGTTGTATACTGCAGTTAAAGGTAATTTTGGATTTAGTTACTCAGAAGGAAAGGTAAATGTGTTAATTTTCTCATCATAATATGTCTGGTGTCTATAGCCTTTCCCTGCAGGCTTTTTAATGTAAGTACTGCCTTTTTAGAGAAAAGGCAGTGTTTACATTGCTGCCTAGTAACACCTCTAGTGGCAGTCACTCAGACAGCAACTAGAGGTGCTTCCTCGTCCAGTTGCTGCACAGTATGCAGCACTGACAGTCAGCGTCTCCACGCTCTGCATGCAGACGTTGAATGTTCCCCATAGAGATGCACTGATTTAATGCACCTCTATGAGAAGATGTTGATTTGCGCAGAGCTGCATTTTTTTCACGCATGCGTAATAGCATCCCAATGCTATCCTGTGGGAAAGCATTGGATTGGCTGAGATCATCAAGACTGATGAACTCAGCCATGGAAGTGGAGCCAGGCAGGACCAGCTGCAGCAAGACTGGTGCCGCGTGGGAGAAGAATTTCCACTGACAGCACTACAAAGATCAGTTGTGTTTGAATGCAACTATTTTGTAGATTATTGTGCAAATTATGCTCTTTGCTAGACTGAATTGTCAGCTCATGTTATGATTAAATATAGGTCTTAAAGCATATAGAATTATTTTGATATTACTGCCATCTAGTTATCTATGTCTTTAATCCTCATTTAAGGTCTATTGTGATAATACTGCCAAATCTTGAAGAGCAGTTCATTGTTTTCAAAGTATTTATGAAGATATTGGCCAATCAGAATCATAAGCAGACTATATCAATCTTGAAGCAGGACGAAGTAGCTCAATATTTTAAAACTCATAAAAGCACGTTATGATAAGGATCATTAGATTTCAATAAAAAAATTTGCTAAATACCAATAAGCTATTTTAAGAACCAACAATTAGCCAGCCTTGTGTTGTATACTGCAGTTAAAGGTAATTTTGGATTTAGTTACTCAGAAGGAAAGGTAAATGTGTTAATTTTCTCATCATAATATGTCTGGTGTCTATAGCCTTTCCCTGCAGGCTTTTTAATGTAAGTACTGCCTTTTTAGAGAAAAGGCAGTGTTTACATTGCTGCCTAGTAACACCTCTAGTGGCAGTCACTCAGACAGCAACTAGAGGTGCTTCCTCGTCCAGTTGCTGCACAGTATGCAGCACTGACAGTCAGCGTCTCCACGCTCTGCATGCAGACGTTGAATGTTCCCCATAGAGATGCACTGATTTAATGCACCTCTATGAGAAGATGTTGATTTGCGCAGAGCTGCATTTTTTTCACGCATGCGTAATAGCATCCCAATGCTATCCTGTGGGAAAGCATTGGATTGGCTGAGATCATCAAGACTGATGAACTCAGCCATGGAAGTGGAGCCAGGCAGGACCAGCTGCAGCAAGACTGGTGCCGCGTGGGAGAAAAGGTACGTTTTAAACCTTTACTCTCCACGGGGGCAAGACAACTAAATATCAATTCCAGCACTATAGTGTCAGGAATACAGATTTGCACTCCTGACACTATAGTGTAACTTAAAAGATGGACACTTTCGCAATTTCCTGTGGTCTCCCTGTAAAACTCCACACACAATAAACTGTTGTTGGGATTGTCTTTGTTCAGTGAATAAATACATTGTTTTACTGCTGTGATTGCTAGCCATCGCTAAATCATTAGTGTATCAGACTACTAGCTTAAAAAGGGTTTTGCCTTTTGTTTATATTGCATTTTAGAACATTGCTTCAGTGTGTTCTTATAATATCTGCATACGTTTGAAAAGTAGAAAAATTATTTAAATCGTATGCCTTATGAATTAATTATCATTTAGCTTCTGAATGCATGTGTATTGTGATTTCCTTTTAAAGCCGATAACAGATTTATCCCCACAGAAATAGTAAGTGGTGAGCCAACTGCTTCATGTTACAGTCTAATATTGTCCAAAAGATGTGCACTGTGGCAGGGCTGCACTACCTCTATTACATTTCTGTGAATGTCTATATGTCAGGATGATTATCACAGCTATTCCTGATACAGGTTCCAGGAGCGCTCCTCTAAGATGGGCTGTGTGGGGAGAGAATTTTGAAGGCTTTTTTTGAATTAACTATTGCATTTATTTCCTGCAGGATTCAAAAAGAATTGGCAGATATCACTTTGGACCCTCCACCCAACTGCAGGTTTGTTACATTTTTTTATTTTTTTAAAACTATAAGTTCATATTTATAGTATAATAGTTTTACATTGCAATTGTATACTCATACTTCTCTAAGTATAAATGTTTAGAATGCCAAAACTTAAATATAAGTGGAATAATGGAACTTTTGTACCTTCAGTTATTGGTTTTAAATAGTCTAATGTTTAGGGCAAAGATGTTCTGTGTACTATTCTGCACATTCATTCCTTTTCCAAATATCACCCGCCATATTACAAAGACATAAATAGTGTTATTGTCCTGTATAATTGGGAACCTTGATTAACAAAAAAACAAAAAACATTTAGGTCCTAAGCAATACAACCATTCCTGCTCAGTGTCGTGGTTATTAGATTTGTAGAAAAATGAGTTTAAGCCAGTTCATCCAAATTAATTAATTTTTTTTTTTTACTGCACATCTGAATAAATCAATTCATCCATGATTTACCTTTTGCAGAAGTCTAGTGATTTTGTTGCTAATAGTCTCTGGACACATCCGCTCAATGGATTTTATTCAGACTATTAGAGGGACACTGTAGGCACCAGGACCTCTTAATCTCATCTCTGTTCCCCTAGTTTTCATTTCAGTGTTAAGGCTGTCTCAAGTGGTTGTCTCCCAGACAGCCACTAGAGGCACTATCTGCAGTTTCACAGAGTTTAACTAAGCATTGATTCAATGTTTTGCTATGGGGGAGGCCATTAGGACCTATTAGCGGAGGAGGCGGAGACGGAGCCAGCACTGAGAGACCTCCACGCTGAAAGAGGTAGGTGTTAAGAGGGTTTTAAAACCATTTTAACACCAGGAAGCTGGACAATAACCTTAGGGCAGAGAGATACTATAGCTTTAAGAATGTAGTATTATGTTCCTATAAGGAGTGGTTTGTCAAAAAATAATAATTCTCCTTGGCACCTGGAGACTGCCCTGTGCCCAGCCCTTTAACATTTAACAAGCATTATCAATGTTTCCGTCCAATCTGGCCAGACGTGATCTCCAGATGTCTGGAATAGCCCTGGTTTAATGTCAAAACTCTCCATAACACCTTAAAAAAAAAAAAAGTCAGGGTACAACACCCATTGGCAACGTAACCACTATACTGCGTGCTGATGTTAATATTTAGACTGTCCCTTCAACCTGTAAGCTGAAATATATATCGAGGCAGTTGCTTTAATGCGCTTTCGTTTGGGGGCGAGAGGTTGGAGGGGATATGTTGACTTTATTGTCATATATTTATCATTTATTTGTTTGTATTGTAATTTTGGTGGCTTTTATTTGGGCTTTATTGTATCATTAGGATTATCAGAATTGTGCAATTACGCCACCATTTTCATGCCTTGGACATAGTCTGTTTTGTGTAAAGCTGTTAATGTTACTTGTTGCCAAATTCCCACAGAATCCCAACAATACATTTTGGAAATCATAAAAAAAAAAAAACTGGATTAGATTTCAATTTCAGGTAGTACAATATAGCCTTTGTTATAAGTCTGTTCAGACCATTTTGAATATGTGATACTATACTGCTGATCACACGTAACACATTACAAGGGCTATGTATCATTACAGCTATGTATGATTAGCCATCGTAAGGTTTGTGGATGTTTATTTTTCTTACAGTTGTAACTTGTTTTGAAAGAGTTAACATACTTGTCCTATTACCTTGTCCACGTAGAATAGTGTGCTCTATATTGCTAATCGAGCACCATTGCTTTTTATAAGGTTATAACCCTGTAATCATACCTTGTCATCTGTTCAGTGTCAGACACACAGAGCATTTGTGTGGGGTTTTTTTTTTTTTATTTAAAATTTTTTTAATTTTATTTTTCATTTATTTCATGCACTTATCTCAGTAGTCACCTTTTCATGCTGTATTTACTTATTGTCTACCTATCAGTTTAAAAACACGCTTGGAATTGTTAATGTATGGTTGCATGAATTATCGAGTGCTTTGTGAAGTGCCACTTTAATAAGCCTTCCAAGGGACGAATTAACTCCTTGCGCACCAGTGGTGTGTGCATTTCATTGTAAAGAGCTCAGAGGATTTAGGAGGTAGCGCAAGACAGGACAATGACAATGCAAACGAGCAAAAAGGGTTAGCAGTGGGATTCCGGCAGTAGCTATTGTTATATAAATTCCCTTTAACAGAGCACCCCTCTTGTTGATTGTACTGCAGATTGTTGAATAAAGTGTACAGGTAGAACGTAAATAAATTAGTAAGAATGACATAGAAGATTGTACCTTTTTGCTGTTACATTAGCGCAACAAGGAGGAAATATTCATAAATGGATAAGGCAAGCACAGTGTTGCAGGCTGTTAAGCAAACAGAATGTGACACTTTGGCATCGCTATTCTATTGTGGCCTTGAGTGATAGGGTTTAGAACTTGTATACTTTACTCATGTGAAATAGACAAGATTATTTACTAAAATTAGAATTGTCTGTAATTCACATTTAAGTCAAAAGAAGCCAAATTGGAAACATAGCTGATTTGGGGAATGTGTCCATTATGGCTAATTTGACCTTAAATTCGAAATTCACCTTGAATGCCCTCACTCTGGTAAGTATCACTACCAGGCAGGCATATAATAAGTTCCTTTGCCTGTTGTACTTTACTAAGGTCTGGAAAGTTACCCCAGAACTATGATGGTTATCGGAATGTGTTTGGTATGCAAGAAAAGTATTTTTTTTCCCTCTTTTTATTTTTAACTAAACCTAGAATAGTAGTGATTTTAAAGATTGTTTTTAAAAAAATTGCAAAATTCAGGCTAAAATAGCCAAGCGATGACTTTAGCAGAGGTGGAAAGTTATTGAAAATCAGCACTTAGATTTTCACATTATCGATTCACTACAGTTTGGTGTTAAAAGAATAAACCTCATATCCGTGTCTAAATGGAATTATTTTAAAAGCAGAGCTGGTTTATTGTATCTACATTATTATTGTGTGAGTGCTTAATTTCTCAAGGACGATCTGGTTTTCCATTGAGCCCTGCTGATTAGAAAATGAGTGATTTGTTGTGCTAGCAGGTTTCTAGAAGGCTTCAAGTGTTTGTTCATGAGATTTTGAAGTTGATTTTGTCTAGTCTTTTGTTTTTCTGGCAAAGAGGTCCCTAAAAAGATATACACTCTGCTTGCAGGAATATTATAAGTGCCCTTAATTAATTTGACTATTTGTAAATGAGCAGTAAACTGCTTGCCTTTTTAAGGACCTCTCAGATACTTTTTTTTTTTTTCCCTGTTTGGCAAAATGCTTACATGACAAAACTGAAACATACAAGCCATTATGTTAATATCAAATACCAGTCTTCCTATTTTACAAGTTCCTCACTTAGCCAGTTCTTTTTCATTTTGGATTGTCACATAGCTAACCATATCCCCAATTCCCTGATGTCTGTCCTAAATATGTTTTTCTCTCTCTGGAGTTGCATACTTGCTTGGCGTCATCACATATATGAGAATGCACAGGGACGTGTCAAGAAGTCCAAAAGGAGGGACAAACCTAAAATAACATGATATTTCTCGAAAAAATGGCTAGAGATTCACACCGCAGTCTGAAATGAAAGAGAACGGTCTGGGGGAGGAACATGCTGCTCTGATCTGGATCCCACTTGCAGGCAGAAAAAGGAACTTTTAAAATAGATTTTTTTTTTTTTTTAATGTTACAGCTTACTTGAGTTCTATTATAACTTATAAGCAGTTTAACAAAAATATAACCTTTTCTGCTTCTATTAATTTATATTGCTCTTTGATCACTTAAGCTAGATGAATCTTTGTAATTCTTTCTTTTTTATTATTATTTTACTGCCCACGCTTTCAGAGATTTGCTCAGTTTCTTTTAGTAATGCTACCAGATTATTTAATGTTTAATTTCCTTTTTGTGACTGGTTCAAGGACTGATAGTTTAATGGTTGTTGTGCTCAAGTTGGTCAACTATAAAAACTGTTACCTTGCCTCTCAGGGATCCAGAGGGACTGAAGAAGACTGTTTGGTGTAGCCCTGTAAATTAAGTAAATTTAAGGTTATACTGCGTTGTGCGACTGGGTAGGAGGGGGATTCTACAGAATCATAAAGTAGGATATTATGGGTTAATATTAATTCATATCATAACAATAACCTCAAGCCTAAATATTTGTCTAATCCTAACTGTACCCCGAGGATCATGGCAAAGATCAGTCTATAATTTTAATCTTAAGGGAACACTATAGTCACCAGAACAACCACAGCTTACTGCAGATGTTCTGGTGAGTATAGACAGTCCCTTCAGGCTTTTTGCTATAAACACTGCATTTCAGAGAAAAGGCAACACCTCTCTGAATACCCCTAGTGGCCACTCCTCAGATGGCCTCTAGAGGTGCTACCTGGGTCAGTGCTGCACAGTGTGCAGTACGGACTGAAGTTCAGCATCTCCACGCTAACCCATTGTGACTGGCTGAGATAATCAATTCTGATGAGGTCATCAAAGGAAGCAGATTGGGGGCAGGGAGGGGGGGGCTTACTAGTGTTTTTAACACTATAGGGTCAGGAATACACGTTTGTGTTCCTGACCCTATAGTGTTCCTTTAACTTAAAACCTAAATTATCTAACTCCTGGTGCTGTAGTACAACCTTAAACCTCATTGTAACACTAACTTTAGTTGCCTTGCAGGACCTTGCCAAGGTGTATGTGCAAGCTCCCAAGAGATCTCTATGGGTTACCAATGAATAGTATGCTTTTAAAGGAACTTTCCACTCTCAACACAACTTCACTGAATAGGCTGTCACCGGCACACAAGGCATTCCTTATCAGCCGATGAGAGGCAGTGCGGACAGCCACCCTTTCGAAAATGGATTTGTTTTAAAGGTGGAGAGTTTCTTTATGTGCAACACTGGGGACAGAGTGAATACATTGTGTATGAATTACATTTTTCTGTGATATAATAGCCAAAGGAAATTGCTCTCAACACATTTTCCTAATAACTATGATAAATTTGATAAATGTATAGTTCTATGGAATTTGTGTTCCAAAGTGTATGTGTATGTATGTGTGTGTGTGTATATATATATGTATATGTATGTTTGAGAAAATGGTTTGACTACTTCCTGAGGGATGTGGCATTATAACAATACATTTTTTTTTTTTTGCATATATATTTTAGTGCATTATTTATAAAATATGTATTTAAAAAAAACAAAAAAAAAACAACTAGGCCATTCCAGCAAACAAAGTTGGATATCTTTGTATAACATACCTTTTTGCTGCACAAATAATCATTTTCAGCTCCCATTTTACATATGCTAAATTAGCTATTGGAATCCAATGGGATTGTAACAGTACTGTATCCTGTATTGTTATCTGCATCCTTTTCTCTTTGGGGACTCTTGTTGTAGTGTCATTACTGGATTTCACATCATCGTTATTGTCACATTGAATGCTAGTTTGAAGGCATAAAAGGCAATTGTGTGAAGATCAACCGCAAATTAACAGCCACGCATGTCCCTGAAATGTAATTTCTAATGAAACCTGGGGGGACAGTAGAAACCGTGTCATGATGTTTGTTGCTCCAGTACAGAGCTTGAAATAATTACACAAACCCAGAAGTATTAATGGAAGGACACCATTTCGCATCCTCTAATGGATAGACTTAATTTTATGACATTTACATTGCAGTGATTGTAGACCCACTGTGGTTTACTCACTATTTAACCGAGATGAGCAACAACCGTTTTAACTATTTATATGGGATTTATTACTCACATTGTGGTTTGCTCAACACTTCTTTTAATCAAATACTTGCTCTGTGTAGTTGTTCGTTTTTTTTTTTTTTGTTGTTTTTTTTTGTAATTTCTTTATTTTCAGTTGTTTTTAGTTTTTGGTGGGGTACAGAATATAAAGAGGGAGGGGGGTAGTAGGTCTAACAAGATTGTTTGAACTTATACATGCCAAATATATTTCCTTTAACCCATTAAGGACACTGTCTTGCACTTAAGGACACAAGAAATTTTCACATTTTTGCTGTTTGCGTTCAACTACAATTTGCATTTTACTATTTTATTGCACCGACACATATTATATACCGTTTTTTTAAAGGACAAAAAGGGCTTTAAATTGATGTAACATATACATATATAAATGCTTATTTATTATAAAAAAAATACAAAAAAAAGCCCAAAAATGTAAAAATATTGGGGGGTTTTCTTCAGTTTTTGCAATAATAATGTGCGCATAATTTATGCAGGTTAAGGAGAGTAATTAAAAATTAATTTAGTTGTTCTGATTTACAGAATATATAATGTGTCTAGGATTTTCAGTTTTTTTTGGGTAGTTACAGCTCACAAAACACAAGGAGTAAAATAAACTTTTAATGTGGAGCGATTTTAGAATTTGGTATGTTTGTCTTTTAAGCTTAATAGCCATAAAAGAAAACAAAATTGCCACACTAAAGTATATATTTATATAAAGAAGACATCACAGGCTATTTAACTAACATTATTTTGACACTTTTTACGTAGCCATTTCACTGCCAATCCCTGCTAAATATTGGACTAAAATTTAGTTGTTTTTTTTGACACACAAAATTATAACACAGAACTTCGTAAAGTTAGTGTGTGCTATTCCTGTACAAAACCTAATTTTGTGTTCAGCTACATCTGCTGAGTAAAATGATATGTATGTCTTTGGCACTATTTCTTGAAGCTACAATGCCATATAGGAGACCTGTCCATTTCGGTATTTACAGTAGAATTTTGAGAGATGGATTTGATGGGCCTTTGTTTAAATTTGGGCCATTATAGCAGTTTGACTGTTCGAAAACCCCCCACAAAGGCCTAACACTTGTAAAAGTAGACACTCCAGGGTATTTCAAATGGCATATTTTAAACCCTAGCGTAGGATCATTTTTTTGCTAGTTTGTACCAAGTCTAGTAGCAATTAGCATTTTTTTCTGCCTTTTTGACACACACTTGGAGATGTTACTGTATATTTTGCAATCCTTATGTGTGCTACGGCAGTATAACACCTATTATGTTGCTCAGCTATGTCGTCTTAGTACAACAATACCCCCATGTGTACCTTTTTCAGGGATATGTGGATGTTGAAGGGGCACATTGGAGACTAAGCCATATCAGTTTGTTTGTTTTTTTTCAAACTTTGAATTTTGACGCTGGTTCCATGTGCAATTTTAGAGCATCTTAGCAGGCTGATAATTCAAATTACCCCACGAAGGCCTACCATTTTTTAAAGAAGGTATTAATCATCGTATTAACCTGCATCAAACTCTGGGGCACTGCCTGTCAACTCTGTCTGCTGATAGAATTCATAACTTCCTAAGCATTTTTTACTTTTTACACAAGAACTTTAACTAAATAATGTTATAAAATAATTTTTTTTCTATTTTTTAAAAATCTTTTCACCCCTAGCGTAACACTAAACTCCCCAACTTCCTATGAATTACCACGCACCCTAATTAACTACAATTAGAAAAATAAAAATAATGAAATAATCAGAGTCAGAGGTAAGAATTGCAGCAGCCTCCTTGGCCCTAAACGTTGTCAGCAACTTTAAAATGGAAGAACTAAATAATAACAAAAAAATGTGTGTGTTATGTATATATATATGTATATATATATAAATATATATATATATATATATATATATATATATATATATATATATATATATATATATATGTATATATATGTATATATGTATATATATGTATATATGTATATATATGTATATATATGTATATATATATATATATTGTGCAACTTATTCTCCCTGGGTGTGAAAAACTTTAAAACAGTTGCCAATACAAAGGCTGGGCTGAGAGGGGCAATCAGGGCAATAAAAGCTGGTTTCCGTCCTTATGCCCCTCTGGTAGCACAACCTGCACCTTTTCTGGGGTGTCTTATTTTTGGGGGTTGGTGGTATCCGGAAACAGAAGTGACCTGTCTCAACCCTTCTGCTGCTAGGCCCAGCTGATGGTTCCCCATTGTGGCACTCAGTGAGCAGCCCAGAAATAAGCTGAAACTGGAAATCCAGAAATGTGGATTTAATGTCAGCATTTGCCTTTTTGTACAGAATAAAGGCATTGTGAGTCGCCATTTGCATAAGGTAAATGCCAAGATTTTTGTACCATGCCCTGGTCTTCCTCAGTATTAAATAGGGTTGCAGCAGTTGGTCGGATAGGTCAACTCCCCCCATGTGCTTGTTATACTGCCTAATGCTGACTAGAACCTCTTCGAGTGTGCTCAGTATGCATAGATGTTGGCATGAACACCTCCTTCTTATCTTTGAATTTGAGAGCCAGCAGTTCGTCCTGGCAGAGAGCAGCCATTTCCCCCCTCTTGAGCTTTTTTTGTGCCAGGGCTTTTGGGAAACCGACACGTGTCTTTCGGATAGTTCCACAGTTTCAAAGCAATAAAGCATCCTGAGAAGAGGGATGCTATTATAGTAATTGTCTATAAATAAATGATACCCCTTATTTAGCAATGGGTTAATTAAATCCCATACGATTTTTCCACTCGTCCCAATGATATCCGGGCAACCTGGGGGATCCAAGTGGCTGTCTTTACCTTCATAAACATGGAAGGTGTAAACATAACCACTGGCACTTTTACAAAGTTTATACAACTTGATCCCATACCGGGATCTTTTAGCCGGGATATATTGTTTAAACCCCAGTCTGCCCTTGTATTTCATTAGAGACTCATCTACACAACTATTTTTTTTGTGGGGTGTACATTGAGCCAAACTGTATGTTGAAGTGGGAAATAAGGGGGTGAATCTTATAGAGATTATCGTATTGAGGATTATCTCTTGGGGGGCACTTCGAATTATCGCTGAAGTGTAAAAAGCGAAGCATTGCTTCATATCTGGACCTGTTCATGGTCTGGGAGTAAATAGGGGTGCTGCATACAGGATTTTTGGACTAGTACATCCTGATGCTGGGTTTTTTAATAATGCCCATTAGCATTGTTAGTGCCCCAAATTTCTTTTTTTAATTCTGGCACACTGGTGGGGTACCAACTCCCTTGCCTGGCGATGAGACTCATTAATTGTCAGGTAATGCACAGCATAAAGGTTAGTCTGGGTGACTATATCCCCTAAAATATCATCCCCCAAGAATAGCTGCATGAAATCCAGTGCACTATAGTCCAACTGAATTCCAGGTCTGCCAGTAAACACTGGGATGTCAAGCACAGTCTCATCACCACTCTCAGAGGCAGTGTCTGTGGCGTCAGTCGGCTGCTAGTATATCATAAGTCTCCTCAGCAGTGTACCTTCTAGACATTATGAAGGTGTAACTTTAACAAACTTTTTTTTAAACTGTTTAAAAAAAAAAAAAAAATTAACTTTTTTTTTCTTTTATTCTTTTTTTTTTTTTAACTTTTTAAAAACTTTTCAGAACTTTTCTAAACTTTTCATCTCTTACTAGCCTAACACTCAATTTCCCAAATTCCCACTAAAGTCCACCCACTCCAACTAACTAAGGAATTAATGTTAAATTAATTAAATAATAAATTAAATAAAATTAACTCCTAAGGGTTAAAAAAAAAAATCAAAATTAACCCTTGAGGGTACAAAAAAAAAATTAGACCACAGTTAAATACTGTGATCAGTATACTAATTTATCAGTATACTGATCACTGCAGGCAGTGATCAAAATGGCAAAGAAAGGGTTTAACACTGTTTTTAAAAGTATTAAAATTACTTTTAAAACAGATACACTTTAAGCTAGAATGGCACACAATGTTACAGCACCGATCCGTCTCTCTTCACTTCTCAAACTACACAGAGGTGGAGGGAGGAGGGTCAGGAATCCCAGCAGCGCTGTGACTGGCTGTCACAGCGATCACATGTGCTGGGACAGCTCTATTGTCGGTTGCTGGTCTGCCTCTGATATCGAGGCACTCAGCAACAGCGTTAACCCCACGATCGCCGCGATCTGGCGTTAACATTAGTAAATGACGGAGATTTTCCGTTAACGGTCCTTAACGCACGGACAAGCTTGACGGAAAATCTCCGTCTTCAGTTGGGAAGGGGTTAATCAATAACATGTGTTCATATCTGTTGTTACTAAGCACTCTGTAGGCTGTTTTGGTTTCGTAGGGTGTGTTATATAACTTTCGAGATGTAGAGGACGTTTTCGTACCCCGCGGGGTACGGAGTGTAGGGTAGGGGAATGGGCTTCTTGGTGTTTGCGGAGATGTTTTTATTCTAATGTATTCTGTTGGTGGTAGTTCTTTTTTTAAATTTATTTATTTTAGTAATTTGCAGTTCCTACACAGCTAATGATCCATTATAATTGATAATTATACCTGCGTGTTATGCTGTCTTTGTTGTTAAGCCACTAATAAAAGGACACCAAGAGGGTTTGTGTGGTTTGCAGAGATCATGAAGTTTAAAATCAAATCTGCATTTTAATGGGCCTATAAAAAAAGAAACCTTGTTAATCTGATGGGTATTACTACCAAACTGAGAAATAAACATAGTTTACAAATATTCCAATCAATGTGTCTCAAAGATTGGAAAGCAAGAAAGGATATAATCCACAATAAAAAAGCATGTCCTGATCACAACATCTGGAATGTTAATATTTTATGTATTGCAAAGTGTGGATTTGTCAGTCCCTTTAAAAATACTCCACTGACTTCCTTTATTAACCTTTATGATGGCAGTTGAACCAGTAGGTGTCATTGAATAATGACATAATTTACCCTCCACTATGTATCTGAGTGCTTTTAGTTATTTTATACTTCTTTGTGTAATTCTGTCTGTCTGCCTGTGCCAGAATTGTTTCAATCTGTGTGATTGGGTCAGTCTATGTGATGTGAGTTGTCTTTCACAAAATCTCTGATGTCAGTTGCAGTGGAGCAAAAATGTTTCGGGGGAAAAAAAAGCACAAAACTTAAAAAATATATAAAAAAATAAAAACCCATTTAACATGCAATATAAAAGTCCTAAATTGGCATGCCATATGTTGTGGGAAAATAATACCACCTCAGGAGACATCCATAAATTTCAAATCGGAATGTTTATGATATCCCTACAATCCATCCATGGCATTATTTTCCCATAATACACTGCTTAGCATTCTATGTCCCAAATATAGAACAATACCCGGGTTATTCAATAACAGGAGAATTCATGGGAAACATGGTGGAGTGAAAGTGAATTTCAAAATGTAGGACACAATGTTAGAATTAGAAATATTCCCCAGGGCAATTCTTTTCTCAATTTTTATATTGTGGTATTCAATTTAAAATTTATTTTGGATTCCCAGCAATTCTCATTTAGTTACCCTGCATGTGAATATGTTTTTCCACATGATGTCCTGCAAATGCATCTTGCTTTAAAGGAGCACCCTGAGAACCATAACCACTACAGCATGTCATAACATATATGGTGCCAGGAGTGCAATTTTGGAACGGGTTGACTTCTAACCTGAGTACCCAAGTGCTGCTACTCAACTGACTGTAGCTTCCAGAATAAACGGAGAAAAGTCTCTACTTCACACAGAGCAGAGCTTAGCTCATTGGCTAAGAGTGCAGATGCTCTCAGCCATTGAACTATCGCTACACTGCAGGGCTTAACCCAGGAGAGCGAGCAGAAGCTCCTAGCAGGAACTTCCATCTCTCCTGAAGGCTGCAAAGAGGGGACACCAGGAACTGCTTACATTAGGAGGTGGACACTAATTTTATTATATATATATATATATATATATATAATTTTTTTATATATATATATATATATATCTCATAGTAATGTAACAAAATATAAAAATAAATACAAATTCTATATAAATCCTCTGCAGAAGTAACATCACTGCAAATGTGAGATTTCTGTGGGAAAAGCAAGTCTTATGGCTTGACTGGTGTGCAGATCTGTGTTTAACATTGTATTGACTCTGTGTGTGTATATTTATTATTGTATGTTTGTTTTGTTACATTACTCTGATATGATATACAGACATTTGTTCACAGCCAATCTCGGAGGGTATTACTTACCGGTAAGCATTACTGGATTCTGACAGTCTGTGCTCTTTTAGCAGGATAAAAAAATTGTGATTTCTAACTTGCAACGGAAAATTGCAAGGGCACGCTATATTTAGCAAGCTTGTCATGAAACACATTACAGAACATCATTATTTTTGAAAAGATTTGCTTCACAATAACATATTGACCAATATATTCATGTAAAATGAGTGGGGATTAAATAACATATTTTTTGTGTGTTATAAGCAACAGGAATAATGTATGTATAAATGGAATTGTTGGCGTATAATATGTGCTATTAAAGTACATAGCTAGGGGGAGAGCTATACATTTTAGCAAGTTCTAGAAGTCGCTAGAATGTCATTGGATTATTCCCATGGTGACTCTACCTCCTGTAAAATGTTGCCCTACTTTTCTATTGTCTTTAACAAACACTGTGAGATCCAGTTGTAACAGATTTCTACTCTTGGCCACGGTGGAGGTCAGTGTATGTCTGTGGAGAGTTGCAAGGTTCAGCTTGGACAATTAAAGCCAATAGGAGCTCTGTGAGTCAGAATTTTCTTTTATCTACATCTGATTCCTCTTCCCTAACGCATATCGCTTAGCTCTGTGACCACTATATAATCCATCCATTCTTACATTGGCTTATTTTAGTTTATGGCTTTTCTGGAGGTCTGAAATCATTATTCACCTTATAACTCCAAACTCTACCATATTTAATACATATGGGCCAGGCACTTTGTGGGGATGGGGGGGGGGGAAATATATATATTTTTTTATTTCTTTTTTTCATCAATGTTCTCATAAAAGAAATGCCACTGTAAAATAATTTGGTCCTGACCTGGAATTTATAGAGAATGAAGAATAGCAATAAAATTCATAAAGGGAATTAATCTGATTTATGTGATCTAGAAAAAAATGATTATAACTTAACAAATATATTCACGATCCGTATATGGATATCTTTTGGGAGCTGTTAATCCTTCAAAATGCTATGATTTTCTGTCGAATAAAAGAGTTACCAGCTTTGAAGGATTTCTGTTCTGCAAATATCTTGAAATATTTTTTTGGGGGGGGAGGGACAGGGAGAGGGTGTTGTTTCTTTCTCAAGAAAACTGCAAATGCAAGACGCCTTTGGCTTTACAAAACAAAATTAACTTTAAATTTTTGTTGTTGTTGATCCTATGTCAGCAGAGGTGTATTTGTTATTTCACCCTTGCTAGGATTCTATTTTATTGTACCCTGTGCTATTAGTTATCTTAATCATTCTTTAATGCTTTCTAAACATCAGAGTGTTTATATAACTCTGCACATTGATTATTCCAAAACACTAATGTTCCTTTTAATGGATTCTTACTTCATGTACTTGCCTAAATGTCCAATAAAAAATGTCTTTGATGCTTCTCCTTTAAAATCTCAGTTCATTCCTAATGGTCACCCAGAGTAGGTATAACATGAATGCCTTCACTAGAAGGTTTTTTTTTTTTTTTTAATGTTTTAGTCCAAAGGCTATTGATTGCTTTTTAGTTCTCAGCAAAAATCTAAATCGTACTATTTAGTAAATTATAAGTCGGGAATTCTAAGTTAACATTTACATATTAGCCGATAAGAATTTTTTTTTTTCAACTTTGCAATTTTGGCGTAATATTTTACATTTGCTTTGAATATCCGTTTCACATTTTACTGAATAAACCCGGCATCGCTATTCATTAAAATAGGCAGCTTCAACATGGATGCTGTCCAGGAGGTGGGAGGGTCTGCTGGAGATTGGCCGGGATGTGTCAGCTGACCGGAGCTCGTGGCGAGCCGTTCGCGGGACGTTCGCGAACGGTTCGCAACATCTCTAATTACAAGTAGTAAGCCATTGGAAAAATTCGGCAGCAAGTCACTCGTCGGGTCTCCACAGTTGCTGGTTAACATCCCAGCTAGTCTATCCCGTTAAGCATGTTTTTTTCTTCATTACTTTATAATTACCACTCACAGGTCTGTTTTTATATTCTGCACCATTGCAATCATCAGATTCATACATAAAGATGCAGTTGCGTAATGTCAATCAGTAATATTTCAGAGGACGTAAAAGCTATTATAAGTAAATATTAAATATACTCTTCTTCCAAACGGTCAAAGTTCGACTTTATTAGGCAGATTCTTCTGTCTAGTCATTCCCCCTACATTAGTTTATTTTCATGCGATTTTTAAGAACAGTGAAAGATATATTTCTTTTTGCAGTCATTCTGTCTAGATATTTGAGGTTTTGTGCATGCAGCTTAGCCGGAAAGGTTATAGAGATTAGTTTGAAGCTGTTTAAATGATGAAATATAAAGAAACTAGAGTAATGTGATACAATTTTGGTATAGTGTGCGCTCCCTGTGACTAATGGGCATTAGAAAGACGTTTTTATCCATGGCAGACAGGGTGTTTGACAGCCTTGTACAAGTGTATGGGTTGTATGGCCGAGCTTGAATGAATAAAAAAAAAAATATATATAAATATATATATATATATATATATATATATATATATATATATATATATATATATATATATATATATATATATATATATATATGTATGTATGTGTTTTGGCATCTGATTTGAACTTTTTTGGTTGTTTTAAACCATTGTTAGAAATAATTAACAAATCAATCCATTCGCAATCAAGCATGAGTTTCGTGTTTATTAGCAACTCATTGCAAGCCTGTGTTTTTTTTTTGTTTTTTTTTGTTTTGTTTTTTAATGGATGGCTGGCTGTTCATTCTGGGAAATGTAGTCCACAGCAGCTAGAATGCTAAAATGTAGTGGCAAGTGGTGTAGTGTAGTGAATGACTGTAGGTGCTACACCTGTAGGTACTAAACTGTATCCCACTTAGGAAAGTCTTTCTCCAATAGCGCACTCACAGGCTCAGCACATCACTCAAGTCAATACAAAAACAGCTTTTATGTCCATACAGCATTAGTTCGACTGCAACAGGGGGGAGAAAGGCTACCTTACATGCTTAATACCAAGGGTTTTTTACCTAAAGGTAAAGGGTTAAACCTCCCAAATTTTCATGTTTTAAGCACTTTACTAACACGGGAATGTCTTACTCAATTGATGATTAAAATGAGTAACATTTTTGAGAAAGCCTCACTTCAGTGACAGATAAACATCCAATACACACCTGCGTGAGGTTTTTTTTTTTTTTTTTTAATAGGTTTTCGTTTTTGGTTTTTAACTTTCAAAAGCTTATAAATATCATGTTTACGTAAAGCTTTACTCGAGAGATATACATAATTCTATTCAAATTGACTTATTTAATTAATTTCCACATTAGAATCCCAATTTTAATGCTGACACTTATTAGAAAAACACTTTGTTTTTTTTTTTTTTTTTTTTAAAGGACTGCACTTAACCTATTCTAAAACTCAAGGTCAATGTGTTTGTGACCTACTTTAATGTTCCTTGAGGCACACAGACTGAAACACCACAGGTTTAAAGGCTATATATTGAGGTGTGTGTGTGTGTGTATCTATCTATATCTCTATCATCTATCTATTTATCTATCTATGTATCAATCTATTTATCTCTCTATCTATGTGTGTCTCTCTCCCTCTCTCTCTCTATCTATTTGTCTCTATCTATCTAATGCCAAAATACCAGAGTATTGCAGTATGCAATGATACCTTTTTATTGTCAAGTTTTCAACAGTGTTCCTCTCTACCTCATGTCTGAAGCAATACTGAAGCATTAAAAGAAGCATTCCTGGGGAAGTAACAAGGGAAATCCTGGGCTAAGATGACCAGGCACCTTAGCACTACAATGAGATTACACTGTCACTATACCTAAGCTGCCTTTCAGGTGCAGTGCAGTGGGCCTCAGAGAACAAAATAACATGGGGTTGTGTGTAATGTCCGCCCCTGTATGTGATTCTGTTTCTTCCGTAAGAAATTGTACTTTGATCCAAAAACCGTTATGTACATATTGCAATGTGGAAGCTCCATGAGGGGTATGTTACCTAGAAATTCTGTAACAAATCCAATATTGATCCACTGTTTTCTTACCTCTTATTTCTGAATCTCTAACTAACCTTGAAAAAAAAAAAAAAACAATAAGAAAAATTGACCAAAAAAACCCACTGGATACATCTGATGTTGTTAGGGAAGGGGAGTGAGTGGGGTGTCCTAAAAAGCAGAAGATGTGCCTGAGAGTGAAAGGTGCAGATTGGTTGAAAATAGCCAGTACATTCTTTGCATGTGTCAAAATACAGCAGTGATGTTGAATTAAAGAGGAGCAGCATGACCAAGATGGCGGTGTCTGCGAGGCACAGGTATGTAAACTCACACTTTGCTGCCGCATGTAGACATCGGACCATCAGCAGCGATATCCCTGTCGGGGGACTTTGCAATTTCAGCAAAGTCCCCAGACGGTCACATCCCTGCTTTAATTAGACACTACAGTTACCAGAACCACGCATTCACTCAGAAAGCCACTAGAGGGGTTTCCTAGTCCAGTGCTGCAGAGTGGCTTTCATCGTCTTCATGCTCTGCATGGAGACGCTGAATGCTCCCCACAGAGATGCACTGATTCAATGTATCTTTATGAGAAAATGCTGATTGGCACAGTGCAGCAGTTGCTGCGCATGCTCAAAAGCCTCCCAATGCTTTGTATTGGATTGACCAAGATCATCAAGATTGATCATCTCAGTCATGGAGGCTAGGCCAGGCACGACAAAACTGGCACGGAGTGGGAGAAAAGGTAAGCTTTAAACTTTTAATCTCCACGGAGAGGGAGACCTGGTGACTTAAACAGCAATTCATGCACTGTAGTGTGAGAAATACGTGTTTGTATTCCTGACACTATAGTATTCCTTTAAACATTTACTCCACACACCACAACCACTTTATCTTATTTTAGTGGTTATGGTTTAATGAAGATATCTGTAAAGGCCGTTTTCTCCCTTTTTCTCCCTTTTTCTCCCAACTGTTTTCAAATGATTTATCAAAAAGTAACCCTTATCACTCAAAGTCCTTTAACTTTGAGACCTGATAATGGGGAAATCTAATTTTATCATAATCCATCAAAGTTCTTGCACAGCAGGACCCACTGCCGATATATCCTATATATGAAAACCTGCTCACTGAACAATGTCTCAAGCCGTACAAGACCGATACTAAGGAATATGCGTATTTGGACAGATACTGAGGAAAATAGATTCATCCATTGTAATTTTTCGAGGTTGGGGGTTTGGACACCAGGACACTTTTGTTTTTCCTTAAAGGAACGCTATAGCGTTAGGAATACGTAATACGTAAATATGTATTCCTAACGTTATAGAGCCCTAGTCATCTAAACTGTGACTAGGGCCCCCGTTCCGCGGTGAATAAATGGTTAATTAACCACTTATTTGCTTACCTTAATCCAATGCCGGGCTCCCACTGCACTGGTGACCTCTCCTCCTCCATCCACGTGAGCTCCCGAGTGGAGCTGAATGCGCAGCCAGAGGCGCGTGCTCAATCAAACCCACCCATAGGAAAGCATTACTCAATACTTTCCTATGGGGTTCTTATTTTATGCTGGACTCCATAAGGACATCCAGCGTCAAATAAGTGTGATTTACGCAGTGTAAATCGCGGAAGCGATACTAGTGGCTGTCAGGGAGACGGCCACTAGAGGCTGGATTAACCCTGCAGTGTAAACATAGCAGTTTCTCTGAAACTGCTGTGTTTTTGGTTGCATGGTTAAAATTAGGGGGACCTGGCACCCAGACCACTTCATTGAGCTGAAGTGGTCTGGGAGCCTATAGTGGTCCTTTACGCTGATTGACAAAAAATTTACACATATACAGTGAAATAAAAATGAATGTAAATGTGGCCTTGTCTCGCTTTTTGGCTATGTTTTTATTTTGTTATAACTATTTTATAACTATTCTTCACAGTAGGTGTACAGTATACAACAACATTTAAGAGAAAAATAATAATAATAATGTAGTAGTAGGATCATATAACGTAAAGCTTCATGAAACGGAATGAATACTGTCTTGCGATAACCTTTACCTAGGCAGACTTTTGGCTGTAAACAAATTGCACACATTTAGTGCACATTAAGAAAATTAACTGTGGCAATAATCCTGATTATTCAGGAAATGCTATGTTTATACAGGGCTGCCGCATGCTTTTACATTTCTTACGTTCAAATTAATCTCCTTATATCTGAAAATAAGAAACAATTTCACAGTCTGACTTACAAATCTGTTTTCGATTTGTTTGTTTATTTTATGCAATAGTTGTATGCAAGTTATCATAGGCAAAACTAGGGTGGATGTTTAGTTAATTCAAACAAAGACCATATCTCTCCTTTAAAACCAAGTATAATGTGTGGCTGGACTAAAAGAACATTTTGTGATTAAACATAAATGTAAAACTGCTTCTGCCTTATGGTTAAAAGCTGCATTTGCTTATACGGTAAGAGAAATGACTCCTACAGATGCCTAACCTGCCTTACATTAAACAAAACAGGTGCATATCAGGGGGATAAGTGCTAAATATTGAGACATCCTAGAGATTTTCATGGTGAGTGCTTGGTGAACTTTTTCTCAACTGCATCCAATTTTTGCCCAAAAAGTATTTTTATCGAATAGCCTTACTTACCTTTCAAGACAATTTATGTTGGTATGCAAAATAAACACATCAAGTAAAGAACATTTTGTGTTAAACGGAAAATCACATCTTAAGGCCATTTTTATTATACTTTGTGTAAGACGACACGCTTTTAATGTTTTGTGTTTGTTTGTCAGATTTACACATTAAGTTTGTATTATGTATTATTCTCTCGAGAAATATGCAGTGAGTATTGAAAGCAAATGAATAACTACGTTCATGAAACTTTTTAAAAACCCAGTGAGTGGTTACAGTATTCGTGAGAACTGAAAACTTCTGTTCTTTGGCGTTAAAGTGATACTGCAAGTACCACGACCACTTCAGTGATTTGAAGTGATGATGAAGCTTGGAGTCTGCTTGTGCAGCGTTTCCTACTGAAACAGAAAAAATGCGCATAGCTACTGGAGGTGTAATTTCTCCTCCAATTCGTCATCGGCCACTTTAGGCTAGTTAATGTGAATACTGTGCATAAAAACAGTCTATCATCAGCAGGCTGGCGACAGACAACCAATGCCAACCAATGGTGGCACAGCCAGTTCTCATTGGTGTCGTCTCCCACCAGTGATTAATGGGGAATGACATCAGTGGATCGGGCTGCAGGCAGAATATGGGCTTGGCACTAGAGCACAAGTACATTTTTGCTTAATTGCAATTTTTTATTTTAATTTTTTTCATTTATTTTTGTAAAAGGTGGTACCTTGCCAGTATGGGTTACTCCAAACAAAAACAGATTTTAAATCTAAATTAAGTATAGCTAATGTAAATCGTATATCAGCTCACTTTGCATTTAGCCAGATTTCTTTATTAAACTGGAACAGAGGTGATTTTAACACTTATTTATTTTTAATTTGGGAAGGGCAAACCTCAGAAAGGGGTTACTTAAGCAAAAAACAGTGCTTTCTGAATACACTGTTTTTTCTTGGAGTAACCCTTTAAATTATTATTTTATTGTTTATGTGTTTTATTTATTAAATAAATAAATACAATTGTTTTTTGTTGTTGTTTTTTTTCTTTTGAGGCTGTTCAAAGTACTAACATAATTTGCCAAGTCTATTGAAAACTCCCAGTGTGCATTTAAATTGATGTCTGGCAATTTGGGCAGTACAGGAAAAGTATAGAATTAAAATGTATCCAATATGCACAATATATACATGTCAGCACTGCACTTGTAACATTTCACTTGTTTATTGTACTGGTCAATGATATGAAATCTATACTATATATTTTACTATATAAATGCATTTAAACTTGGGGCCCAACTCCAGCTGGATTAAATTAGCAAATCTGAGAAAACATCCATCCTTTTCTTTATATTTCCAATAAAATGTTATAACCTATGTTCTAATGCTTAAAAATCGAGGTTTGTGTTGCGTGTGTACGTATGGTAAGTACGGAATGTAAAATGCTATGCACTGCTTGGCAAAGGCAGTACTGAGGCTTACCAGTATAATTTTACTACTAATTTACTGTTACATACAGTACGCAGATTGTGTAGTTTGTGAAATAGGAATATAGAGCCACTTAACAGGATATGATTTACTAGATATGATTCTGATTCAATCTTTAGTCAGACTCTTACTGTGACCTAAACAGTGTCCTCTCTAGGTATCCAACAATATACATTGTATTTTCATACTGGTTAACACTTTCTGAAGATTTGTGTACATAAGTGGACTTTCCCGGCACAGTAGAATACTTTCTATAACTTTCTACTAGTTACATATTGTTTAAAAAAAATGTAATTGCTGAATGTTTACTGTCTTGCCTAAATTAGCAGTTTTTACGTTGTTTTGTCTTTATTCGTATATTTGTTTACTGCATCACATATATAGAGCTGTAATAAGTGATTTGTACCTTTTTTGATGTAATAATTTGCACTGCAAATTTATATTGGTCCCTGAGGATGTCCCTAAGAGGAAGCAACGCGTAGGCCCAGATTTCATATTTATTTATAAATAGAGCATTTTATTATACTGTCACCATCCTGCTGGAGTTCCTTGCTTCCATTTATGTACAGAGTTTATAAGGACAATTGGAGTGGAGACATTAGTAGGGATATTGACCCCTCCAAATATTGAGCGAGGCACCCATTGTGCCCATATACACCTTCACGACATATTATGTGTTAACTGTATCACACTATGTTTTGTTCAGTTGTATTTTTAGGATACAGCTGATTCCCTATAAATATTGATATTTGTTGTATTAATGTTCATTGTTAACATTGTTCCAACAGTTTGATGACCTGCATCCCCTGGTATCCCACAGTCTAAGGACCATCTTTACATATTGCTTAAAGCTTTAGCAATATCAATTTAGGTCAGGTTTGGATGGAAGTCAATGATTGGGAAATGTCATCTTTTAGCCAAACTAGCGGAGCAATTTATTTAAAAAAATAAATAAAGATTATATATATATTGCACTCTTGGGTCTTTCCAAAAAAATCAATTTGTGTTTATTAAATAAAGGTATTACATCATCTGATGATGTAATACCTTTATTTAATAAACACATATTGATTTTTTTTTTTTTTTTTTTGCAAAGACCTGAGAGTGCATCTCTTACTTCTCTATACATATTCCATAACGTGGGATTGCACGAAGGCATAAGTATATCTACTGAATTGGAGACAGGGTGAGTGCCAAGCTATTTATCTTTGTGTGTGTGTGTATATATATATATATATATGTATGTATGTGTGTGTGTGTGTATATAATTTTTTTCTTTAGTTTATGTAAAAAATATTTTTTTAGGGATACTAGAATCAAAGCAATTGAGCTGGATTAAAAAATATATATATATATTTTTTAATGTTTTCCTAGTGCTGGTCCAAAAGGAGATAACATCTATGAATGGAGATCAACAATCTTAGGACCACCAGGTTCTGTGTACGAAGGAGGAGTGTTTTTCTTGGATATCACATTCACACCTGAATACCCCTTCAAGCCTCCAAAAGTAAGTAACAATACAGGATTCAGTAGGATGTCCCCATGGGATAATGGGGACATCCATGGGAGAGAACTTGCCCCACTCTGCACTGCAGGCGGAGTGACAGGGCTTCAAAACTGTACAGGCTACTAAAGTCGTATCTGCCATAGGTACCATAGGACAATAAAAGGGATACAAGCCCCTTGTATTAACGCTGGGGAAGGATAATTTTAGAAACGGCAGTGATGGTGAAAAATGAGAGAGAAGCAGGGTCTGTTTAACATGTACTTTTTTTTGTACAAGTCCAAGTTTGGTATTTAAGAGCTCATGTACTGTTGAGGGTTTTTTGGGGATTTTGTTTATTTTTATTGAATGATTAAAGTTCCATATGTATTGTTCTTTAGAGTTTAGTATTGTGTGTATTTTTATTTATTTTTTATTAAATCCAAAGCGAATTAATATTGAATTTTAAACTGTAAAAAAAAAAAAGCAAAAAACTATCTAACTGCCTAAAATTGAATTCCTGGAATTTCAGACTTTATTGAATATCCAAGTCGCATATCCTCTATTGTTAAAAGTGGGACCAGTCTGTAGTGTTAGCTGTGGCTGTCAGAAACTGATTATGCTGTAAATAGGAGAACCAATCCTGTTCTATGGGTTGATTTAATTCCTGATCACGTTGTTTGCTGGAGAGGTTGTGGGCCATTTAATAAACCACGTCAGACTTTTATCAAGGAATTTCATATGGGAGGCAGTCATAGTTATGTTATCAGGGTAGCAGACTGATACATCCACCCATCACTGCAACAAGATTGAAAGTAATAAAACCACTGGGAGAGATTTATCAAAGTATTGTTGTATTAAAGTGTTGAAAATGTTTAAAAGTGAAGTGGGGTAATTCGAATGGAAACAAATTAAATAACTAGGCATGTTTAGTTAGTGAATGCTTATTTTTTTTCAGACTTTACACTACTTTTGTTTTTACACTGTTGCTTTTGTGCTCCAAAGTCTAACATTTAATATTTGAATATCCTATGTTTCCCCCGGCACTATGGAATTGCATTATGGGTATTGCAAAAATGACGATTCTCCTTCTACATAAGGAACACAAAGTTACCTTGGAAGGAGTGTGTGGCTCTCCTCAAACCAAAAAGAACCCAACGTTAATAGTTATCTGACTTTCTACAACGAAGTGGGGGAACATTCAGCCAGGGGTGCTTTTAAAGTTCCACTGTTGCCTAACATGATTATGGCAAAATCCTTAACAGGCTCGCAGTAGGCATCCGTGGTAGCTGCCCTATATCTGTCTTTAAGACATTTTTACCAGCTTCAAGATTGGCGTCTGGGGGGCAGCCTAATGTTGTCCATAGTAAATCCTTACTGTTTTCGTGATGCTACCTGTACCTGTGAGAAATCCTTACTTGCCTCTGGATAAGCAAGCAGTGGTGCTACCTAACATCCCTTAAGGAAATCCTAACATTTTTATGGATCGGCAACCCCTGGAATGCATTGCACTAAGCTAAAACTCCCAGTATGTTCAGTCAATAAAAATATCTGGATGTAAATGAGCAGAGATGAAGTGGATTTTTTCTAAATATAGACGACAGTACTCACAGATGTTAAACACAAAGTACAGAACCTGCAGTGCAATCACAGGACACCGAGAATGTGAAAGCAATGCGGACTATTGATTGGGCTAAGGTCGTTATAGCTAGTAGAGAGCTATGTCTTCACTTAAGCTGATTATTTCATGTGAGTGAATAACAGAATTACTTGAAAAGCCATGCTTCTACGCTATGCTTGCTTATACGTTGAAGGTTTTTTGTTTGTTTTTGCCCTCAAACTATTTTTTATATGTTAAATTATTTGAATGCAAGCAAATTGCATTTAAGTGTCGCTTCATTATCCGCCCATTACCCTATAATATCAAACACTAGAGCAACAGATGTGAACGGAAGGCATTTTCTTCTGACTATAGCAAACAACGTCTGCCTGCTTTCAAACGTAAGTGCCGACATCCATGTACTATTTGAGCACATTTCCCATATTAATGGATTATGGCTACCAGTCATAACAAACGGACATTATCCATGCTACACTTTGCCTGTAAATAATCTGTTCCACTACATTATTTTTTGTTGGTAAGGTGCTTTCAAAAGGTTTTTTTTGCAAGTAACAGAGCTTCTTCTTTTTATGAAAAACACATTTGATGGTTTTAAAGGCCCTTTTCATCCCTGAGGCCAAAAGCATTACTATAATGTAGCAGTACTGTCTTGATTCCAATAATACAGCACCATTCTTTCAGGAGGTCTGTGTGAGACAAACTGCACTTTCTTACCTTCACATTGACCTGATCTTTGTATGTTTGAGGTAAATGGAGCTTCTACAATAATAATGACCAAATTAAACTTCTAGCCCTGTTCATAGCAAAATCTCTGGAAGAGTAAGAGGCAATACCTTTAAAGATCACCATTTAGGATACACCATTGTGAGGCATCACACCTCGTTATAGCAAGCCGTACAATATCAATTTTAAAAAAAAAACTGATTTTGTGCTCATTTTGTTGGAATTAGCAGAAAGAAAGTATTGTGAGTTAGGAAAGTAGCTGTTGTGTTTGTTGACTTTCAGTTCGCCAGACTTTCATCCCTTCACTATGTTCAAATGTATCATCTCAGATTCTTGCTTCCATGTGAATAAAGACCATATACACTATCCACAACCATTGACAGTTTGACATTTACACATGGGATCTGTTTTATGAACCGTACATTGCATATGTTCAGAGTTATAGGAAAGGCTCAAAGTTTCAAGTCTTATTAATGTGGAAATCCATAAAATAAGTCACCTTTTGAGCGGAGGTGTGAACAATGGTGTATATAAGCCAATTCGTAATCAGTCACAAGACCGATATAAACAACAGAATGTCCAATCACTGAAACCGTTTATATGACAATAGTCACACAGGCCAGATTGGAGTTCAGGGTGGGATGGTATTCGAGTATAAAAAATGGAATAGTTGGTGCACAGCATTAGTACTTCACACTCATGAGGCAGGAGCCCATGACTTCAGAATTAGAAAGCTTTGGGCCAAATAGCATAATTTGAATTTGAGTAATGAACCAGATGTGAAATGGGAAACTAATTCAATAATTATTTGAATAAACAAAACAAAACATTTGAACACTAAATGTGTTTTAATTCTGTTAATAACCCTGACTTGGGTCCCTGCCAAGATGTATTAAAATACAAAAACGTTTTGAAACCGAGAAATGTAAAAACAATAAAATCTTTGAGACCTATTTTGCATCCTTGAAAGTAGGTAGTTTGACATTTCACACTTCAGCCTTGATTTTAACATTTTTGGATAATTAAAAAATATAAAAATTATCTACAAAAATTCCTATAGACTTTTAATGGTATACCTGGAGACACATCATATGAAATATGTATCCAAAAATATTAAATCGTGGCTTTCTTTATTTGTAGAATAGTGTATTTTTAATGGTAATTCTCCGGTATAACCACTAGAGGTCAGCAGGCTCAAGTAAATTTGTTGATTTTTGGATTGCAGCTTTTAGATTGTAGAAAAGTGTTTTCCCATAGTATTTAGCAAGCTAGGTGAGCGGGAAAAAAAAATAGCATCCCATAGATTGCACTCATGCATTGTTTCCATCATCTTTGAATAATAAGGCAAATGTAACTACTTGTATGCTTTGTTTGATCTTTTGAATATGATCTGGTAATTTGCTATTGCTGTTCCAGTTTTCAGAGAAAATGCAGTGAAGATTTTACAATATTTATGGGGCAGGAGGAGGCTAGGGGGTCTAGATGGTGGTTTTAACACTATAGGGTCAGGAATGAAAGTTTGTGTTCCTGACCCTATAGTGCAGGGGTCATCAAACTCCTGCCCCCCAGATGTTGATGAACTACAACTCCCATGATTCTCTGGCTATCTATGTAATTCAAAGAATCATGGGAGTTGTAGTTCAGCAACATCTGGGGGGCCAGAGTTTGAGGACCCCTGCTATAGTGTTCCTTTAAATAGTATAGTAGAAGGTAAAATTGTGTCTTAGAATATACACCACATCTTCAATACATCAGCACTATACATCCTGGTTGGTTGACTTAGCATGGGAGAAGAATTGTAAACATGAAACATCTCACTATCTGAAGCCAATTCACTCCTGATTACTATCTGTACATGATAAATCTTGACTCAATGCTGCATGGCCTCAGTAACTGCACCTCGTTCCTTTCACACTTTTATAGAGTGTAGGCTGAGAAATACAGGTATGATGTCACATTTTATAGACTAAAATTAGCATGTACAGATTGTTGCATTTGAAGGCTCTAGAGCCACTTTACTTTGTGTTTAGTATTATGTGTGCAAAGTTAAACAAGGAATGCTAAGTTTTTTTTTTTTTTTTTTAAATCTCCTCTTCTAGGTGACGTTTCGGACAAGAATTTACCACTGTAACATTAACAGCCAGGGCGTGATCTGCCTCGATATCCTGAAAGATAACTGGAGCCCAGCTCTAACAATTTCTAAAGTTCTCCTGTCTATCTGCTCACTGCTCACAGATTGCAACCCTGGTAAGACTACTCTCAAAAACACACCAGCTCACACTGACACGTCTGGACCATGTTGTGTTGCTGATGCCAAAATAAATCTAATAGGTCTTTCATTAAGTAATTGTTGTGATACACTGACAAATAGCAACATGTTGTGATCATTTCAGGGTTTGGGTTCTAAAACATTAAGTCCATTTAGTGTAGTTTCTACCTTATTGTAATCCCCTCTGTAAGATTTCCCCACCTCATGTTGGGACTGTATATTGCTGTGATATCTTGCAGGTATGTGACATGACATTGATGTAAGATGTTGCAGCAAATCTACACTGACTGCTACAATGGGGGCAATCATTAAAGTTCATGTTAACTTTTTGTTTTCAATTGTGTCAGTATACTTCAGGTTTTGGGCTCTATAGTTTTTTTAGGTCATGGTTCGGGTCAACAGCTTAATGCTAGAGGTGTTTACTTTTATTCAGTTATTTAAATGATGTGGTGGGCCATCACCTAGTATCCCAGAATGTTGGTAAGGTATGTTCCTCTAAAAATATCTTTTTCCCATTAGTCATTTATTTTTCTAGAATGGTCATTTTTGTAGAGCCAACATATCAGTTCTATACAGTTTATACGTGGGATAAAACCATAAATGATACACATAATAGTGTGAAAAGAGTTGTTCAAGCTTAATCTATAAATGCAAAAAAAAAAAAAAAGCACTCACAGGATTTTGTAATTTTTTTCTAGCTGACCCCCTCGTTGGAAGCATCGCCACTCAGTACATGACTAACAGAGGGGAGCATGACCGAATGGCCAGACAGTGGACCAAGAGATATGCCACATAGACACACGGCTTCCCCACCAAACTCATCTGTTTGTCTGTGATGGAGAGAGCTGCTTGTTAATTTGAAGGGGTCAAGGGAGGGTGGGAATTGATAAAGAATAGGGTATTTCTATAACAGATTTTATTCAGTCTCTTATTTCCAGAGAATTTTGTTATTGTAACTTAAGGTATCTTTCTGCAGTAGATTATTAGACTGGATGAGGACAGCTTTTTGTAAAGCAGACAAGCTCTGAAATATAAGCTTATAAAAGGAGTACAAAGAATGTAAAATATCTTTTCCCCTCTTTTGGTTCGGTGCAGTATATAAACTATTAGTTTTGTACAGTTACACTGCTTATACCCTAGGCCTTTGTGTAAAGTATTTTGTTATTTCTTTAATGGACAAGGAGCAGTAGTGGTTAATAAAATGTAATAAAGGAGGCTGCATTGTTCGAATCTCAAGACCTCACCTACCACCTTCAGAGGTTATAAATCCCAGTTCTGGGACATTAAACTTTTTGTGTGTGTGTTATGAACTTTATTTTTTTTCCCCCTTTTGTATGTCTAATAACCAGAGAAAAGACTTGTTAACGAGAACCTTTAGTGAAATATACCTTAAGATGTTTAACTGTAAAAGGTGGATAAGAATTACTCATTGGATTGGTTGTCTGTAGGCCAATTATGCCTACGTTTGTTACTGTGTTAATAAAAGTGGAACAATATGTTGGCTGAATCTTTATTGTTAAAGTGGGTAATTCTCCCTCATGCCTCCACACACACTAAAAAAAAAAGTTTCACTAGTGTTCATCCGGAGAATTTAGACAACAAAAATAGGTAAATGGTCAGTTATTGAACAGATACCCCTCCCGGAGACTGCTTTATGGAGTTGGTGTTCTAAGAAGGGTGTTGGCGTTTTCTGGTTCTCAAAAAGAACGAGGTATTATAGTTATCTGTCTGTGCAGTAAACTTAGATTAGGCTCACCGTTTGTCAATGTAACAAACTATCTCCATTGATGTCATGAGTTCAAAGAGGGGACTGAAAGTGATTTTACTAAAGCTTAGAACTATAAACTGAACATCCAGATCTCACTGGGAAATGAAGTGTGTGTGTGTGTGCGCGCGCGCATATTCTAGATGAATATATTTGGTGGCTTTTTGATCCTTCTCTACACTTGTATTGTCATCCCCAGCCTGCATTGTCTAAGTTAAGATTTTTGTGGCGATATTAACCCCTTAAGAACCACGGACGTATCTAGTAGATCTGCAGCAAATATGAGCGCTGGAAGGGATAGCTAATACATTTCAGGCGCTCTAAAAAGGTATTGCAGCGATGCCTCGATGTCGAGGCATCCTGCTATACTTCTCCTGACTGCCGGGCCGCCGAGTGATCACTCCTGAGGAGCGATTACTTCCTGGTTGCCTCACATGGCACCCGGCAGTGTAGCAGAGCATCGGAAGTCATCCGGCAGGCTTCCAATGCTCTGCCTGTGTGCCGAGTGCCTCCAGGGGTCGATGCACTCAGTGATTGCAAGCTTTTAAAATATAGAATGTAAACATCTTTGATATAAGAACCTCAGATTGATTTTTAAAGAGGAGAAACAAAATAATTAAATTCTGAGCAAGTTATGCCACAAATTAGGCGATGAAATAGGGATTTGTTTTTAACTTACCAAATCGGCTTGCATATGAGGGAGACACACACATGCTATGCACTTCTCAAAATAAACAAAAAGATTAGAACAGCAGTACAGCCTAAACCCCATTATCACTGGTAAGTGATTGATGGATATACTAGAACAGGCCATGAATAACTTGTACTGCTCTACAATAAAACTTTAGAGCACTTCCAAGGAAGTTGTATAGCGCTGAGGAGGCGTATGCCATCCTTGCGTTAGTCTGAGGCATCCAGATTGTGACCCTGCCAGGTGCTCAGATACATCACTAGAGACAGTGTCTGCTGGTAGTTATGTATCTGTGGCTGCTAGGCCCCCTGCCAGAAGGAGACGTGCTGCTCCAACTGGAAGTGCTGCTGAAGAGTGGGAAGTGCCTCATCGCCAGAAGCCAGATATCCCACCCTTCACTGCAACTCCTGGATGTCACAGGATTTAGCCCCCAACAGTTTATAGGTGAGAACCTCCTTCATTCAGCCAGGGCATTGAAAATGGGTATTCCAGCATGACTATGACCCAAAACACACAGCCGAGGCAACAAAGGAGTGGCTCAAGAAGAAGCACATTAGGGTCCTGGAGTGGCCTAGCCAGTCTCCAGCCCTTAGTCCCATAGAAACTCTGGAGGGAGCTGCAGTTCGAGTTGCCAAATGTCCATTTCGAAACCTTAATGACTTGGAGAGGATCTACATAGCTGTGGGACAAAGTCCCTCCTGAGATGTGTGCAAACCTGGTGGCCAACTACAAGAAATGTCTCACCTCTGATTGCCAACCAGGGTTTTGCCACCAAGTAATTGCAAATTTGCAACTTTCGTGACATGCGGTTTTTCTGTCTCTTGTTAAAATAAACCTGCCATTAAAATTATAGACTGATCATTTCTTTGTCAGTGGGCAAATGTTCAAAATCAGCAGGGGATCAAATACTCCCCCCTCCCTGTAAACACTATGTGTAATCCTTGATGACCTCGTTTTCCGTGGGGGGGGGGGAGGGGAGAGGGGGCAGTGTATACACACACTCTACATGCATATTTATGTAATTTTTACATAATTAAGTCATTTTATTTATTGCAATATGCCAGACAACCCAGGCCAAAAGTCCAGAGAATTTAATTTGCTAGCACTGTATTTAACCCTGTAACTTTCCATGACACCCTAAAATCTGTACATGGGGGGGTATGGTTTTACTCGGGAGACTTTGCTGAATACAAATATTAGTGTTTCAAAACATCACAGCGATGATAGTCTGTGAAAGTGACTTTTTTTAAAAACAAATCCACGCACAAATGGCACTTACAATGATATTGTTGTGATACGTTTTACGGTTTTGAAACACTACTATGTGTGTTCAGCGAAGTCTCCTACGCATAACCTCCATGTACAGGTTTTATATTTAGATGTTACAGGGTCAAATATAAGGCTTGATTTTCTTTTTTTCCCCATATTGAAATTTGCCAGATTGGTTATGTTGTGTTTGAGAGCGTATGGTCAGGGGCGTACCTAGAGCATTTGGCACCTGGGGCGGATATTGTGCTTGGGCCCCCCCCAAAAAAAAAAAAAACCCTGTAAAATTTGTAAACTTTGCAAAACCGCTGTCAGCCCCTCCTACAAAACCCTTGTCCTGCCCCTCCTACAAAACCTCTGTCCTGCCCCTTCTACAAATCCTGTACTGCCCCGTCTACAAAACTCCCGCAACCCCCTGCCACCCTTATAAAGACTCCTGTCCCAATACAAAACCCCCGCCCCCTTCTACAAAATCCCTGCAGCCCCACACACACACACACACATTTACAGACAGACAGTCACACACACTCAGTTACAGGCAGACAGTCATACATACACATTTCCTCCGTGCGGCCAGTTTATCAGCTGTTTGCTTGTGTGAGCTGTACTGGCCGCACGGCACCCTAACTACCATGGGACACTGTGCGGCCACAGCTCACACAAGCCCCCTCCAGCCAGGGCCGGTGCAAGGATTTTTGCCGCCCTAGGCAAAAGTAAAGTTTGCCGCCCCCCCATGTGACATCACAATGCCCCACCCATATGATTTGCCATGTTAACTAACGCCAGTGCTGCAGTGCCGCCGTGTTTACATTATAAGGCATGCAGGGACAGGCTATAGACACCAGAACCACTACATTAAGCTGAAGTGTTTCTGGGGACTATAGTGTTTCTTTAATGTGAGGTAAATTAGAGCTTAGTGCCACGAATAATATACTAGATTGCCTACTTACAACCAGATGAGGATGATGATGGGCTCTAGCTGCAGTCTGGCTCCACTGGTCTGGTGCAGAACAGGCTCTCTGGAGGCGGTTTGTAACTGTGGTCACAAAAATCAATGTTCTGGGAGAACGGGAAGCAGCTCCATTTTTTGGGGGTCCTTTACACAGCTCAAGGTCTGGGTCCCAGGGTCCACCTTCATGTTCCACCAATGAGTTTGTTCACAGGGGGTGGAGTGTGTAGGGGATGTCCTGATATGTGTGTAACAAATGCATTGTGTGAAATTGTGTTTGTATGTGGCTGCAAGGTGTGTTTCTGTGTATGTACGGGATGCATTGAATGTGTGTAATGAATGCATTGTGTGTTTCTCTGTGTGTAAGGGATGCATTGCTTGTGTATGTGTGTGTAATGCATTGTGTGTTTTTCTGTGAGCAAGGGGTGCATTGTGTGTATGTGATGAATGTCAATCTCTCCTCCCGCTCCAATTTCCTTCCCCCCTTCCCATTTTCTCTTTGTCCCCCTCCCTCCCCAGTCACTCTTTGTCCCCCTCCCCAGTCACTCTGGCCAATGTTAGCGTTCATAATTGTTTTTTGCATTTTTAACACACAAACAAATATAAATGCTAACTTTGGCCAGTGTTTGTGACTAAGTGGTTACTAAAAAGACATTCCCCCATATTGTATACCTGGGGTTGTCTACTTTAAAATAAATATGTACATGTGAGGTGTGATTCAGAGATTAGACAGATAAGTGTCACAATGTCACTATTGATAAATTGTAAATATAAAAATATATGTCCTTGTAGTTATAGCCCTTTAACTTGCAAAAAAAAATAAAAATAAAAAAAAAGCCAAGAACATGTTAACATTGGGTATTTCTAAACTCAGGACAAAATTTAGAAACTTTAGCATGGGTGTTTGACGGTTGTAGATGCGCAACAGATTTTGAAGGTCAAAGTTAGAAAGTGCGTTTTGTTTTTTTAAATCATTTTATAATTTGTTTTATAGTAAATTATGATTTGAAAATAGTATCTTTAGAAAGACCATTTAATGGTGAGAAAATTTTTATATATATATATATATATATATATATATATATATATATATATATATATTATATATATTATATAAATAATGCATGGCTGCAGTAAATGAGTAAGAGGAAAATTACAGCTAAACACAAACACAGCAGAAATGTAAAAACAGCCCTGGTCCTTAATGGTAAGCAAATAAAGAAAGTCTGGTTACTAAGGGGTTAAACATTTTAAAACAACTTTCTGTAATGGGTCTGACTATACAATCTATAGATTTTCCCTCACTCTTCCAGCCAACCTATTGCAGAATGGGTGATAACTAAAACCAGAACAATGGATTTTTTTATTTTGGTTCAGTGCATTTCCCATAAATCTTGGTTAACACAGTTTAACAATTTCTCACCACAAACAAATCAACATGCATTATGCCACCCCATCTTCCAAAATCCAAAACCCTTCAACGTAAAACCAAGATCCTTTGGATTTCTAGATGCAGAAATAGGTTGAACAAGTGTAAATAAGATGTGAGCATCACCTTCGGTTGTATTAATAATTTATTTAGAAAATATAGGGTTCAAATGCATAGTGATAGAAAAGACTGCTTTGGGACATTGACGAACAGGGTTTATCTACCTCAGCAGAAATAGTCCTTTTAGGTGTCGGAAGCAGCGCCTTTGCTTTTCCTCCCCGGCAAAGGGAAGGAGGATTTGGTCTGGATTTGATTCAGTTTGTTTGCTAGATATGTAAATGGTTCAATCAGAGTACTTCGGTCTGTCACAGACACGTCCCAAAGCTTCACTCGCTCACTCTTCGCCCACTGATGAGTCATTTCTGGGTCCACTTTTCTTTGGTCAGCAAGATCCGTCTTGTTTCCTAAAACTATTATCATTGTCTTAAAAAATAAAAAAATAATAATAATAATAATAAAACAGGCATTGGGCCGATGCAAACTCTCCTACCTGGCATCTAATAACACCAAGCTTTTTATTCTCTTTGAAAAAGGTGCCTTAGTAGCACCCACACATGTTTTCAAGATACTAAATACACCATTGTTTACAGGAATAAGGACTAAATTATGCCAACTCTAGTCTTTGCGACCATATTCATACAATCTCCTGCTTTAAATCAGGTCTCACTTGTCTGGCAGAGACAGCTCCTCCTTCTCTCGCACCAGTAGTTTCTGTTGAAGGGGATACTGGCATGTGTAGTGAAGTAGGGTTATGTGCACACTGGCACCTGCAGATTAATGCCATAGAGATGCATGCATGTAGAATCTGCCAGGGAAGTCAGGTATACAATATAAAACTGAAGCTGTTCAAGTTTGAATAAATATGCAAAGAATACTAAACTTGTGCACAAAAGCATACATCTACTTCACTGTATACGGTCTGTTACTGTCGGTCAACCTGGCAGAGTTCAAACTGCAGTAAATGAGGAACTGTAATAGGATATGGTAGTTAAATTTGATTCTAGAGTTTAGTTTCTCCAAGGCTTTTCAGCATATGGTCCTGTGATAGCTTATGTCCACTAGAGGTCTCACTACTTTGCTTGACAACTCGTGTTTTTCCAGACAAGTAAAAAAAGAAATAAATTTTTAACAAAGTTTAATGATCAATGGAGAATAATTTGTTTTACACCCATCAATTTCTAACCTAATAAGCACATTTTATTCACATTCATCTTCTTTTGGTCCCTAGTAGACTTGTTCACAAATCCACGTCACCTGGTATACATGAAATTACTGTTAAGCTACAGCAAAGACAACTTGAATAGTTTAGATCAGGGGTTACTAAACCAGTCCTCAAGTACCCCCTACCTACCAGGCCAGGATTTAGGGATTATCCTGTTGTGTCTAAAGTGTATTTATTTTCCTTTTTCTAAAAACACCTTCGACACAACTGGGTAATCCTTAACCTCTTAAGGACACATGGCGGAAATATTCCATCATGATTCCCTTTTATTACAGAAGTTCTGTCCTTAAGGGGGTTAAATCCTGGACTGTTAGGGGGTATTCGAGGACTGGGTTGAGAACCACTGGTTTAGATGATAAACCATGGAGAACAATAGTGTGAGTGAAGCGCTAAAAATGCTTTAAAAAAATAAAAAAAATAAAAATAAAAAAATAATAATAATAATAATAATAATAATAATAATAATAATAATAATAATATATATATATATATACACATACATACATACATACACACACACACACACACACACATATATATATATATATATACATACACACACACACACACACCTTTTTAAAAAGCCACACACACTTACCCCTATATTTCACAGTCTTATCTTATGTACAGGTAAAACAAAATAAAAATAAAATAGTGAAGTATTGTTTAAAGTGCTAAAATAAAACAAGTGCACTTGTGTTGGCAAGTTACTTGCACTGACATTTGGTGGTAACATTTTGTAAATGGCTCTAAAATCTGGGCTTCTGTGCCTTAACAGAAAAACACACTGTTATTCTACGCCCAGACAAATTGATCTGTCTGGGACCTACAAGGCACAGATTAACAGGAATTTGATTCATTTATCACAGGTGAGAAGTCTGGCCCTTTAGTAATGTTTTAACAAATTGGCAGGAAATCGATGTAGTACAGCCACTGCGCATTTATCTGGAACACTAAATAAATTGGCATTGACGTTTTATGTCCACTCCTCTGCAGCAACCAGGAAATATCTGATCCATTTAAGCCAGCCAATCAATGGGTAGAGCATGCTACACCTGACATCACATCTTCAATTCAAATATCAAAGTATCACCTTCTACTGTCAGTTTACTATTTGAAGTGGCCAATAATAGACAAAGTGGAATTCTGGAGGTTACCTTGGGATATGTGTGTGAGATTTTCCCTGTTTCTACTATTCTTATTAAACATTATTTCACATTAATTTTTGTAATGTATAAAAGTTATCATGGAGCTGGAATATTAGAACATGTACCATGTTGCGTACCTCTTTTTTGTCTTTAAACATATCCACTTCCCTCTTCAGCGTCTTAACTCTTTGAAATGATGCCATACAATCCACACTATAGACCAGAATGAAGCCATCAGCAAAGGAAAAATAGTGTTTGGGTAACTCTGCGCCTTCCTGAAGTCCCTGGGTGTCATAAAGCCTTAGTTGTTCTCTTACACCACGGTCTGTTTCCACTGAGGCAATATATATATCTTCCAAGGTTTCGCTACCTTCCAAACCTTAACACAAGTAAAACCGAGAGGTACATAGTATTATATGCAGTCAATAGGCACTGGAGGTGAAAAGCAACAATTGTGTGTAGTGTGGGTATATTGGAAAAGCATGCAGAGTCAGTTTGGAGAAAAAAAAAAAAAAAAACACACAATATTTCCAAAAGATGCACTGGAATAGTCTCTAAAAAAGAAAATAGAATAAAACCAGATGCTGCAGCTTTTACACGTCTCTCACCCCTAAAATAGAACAAGTACAATCATCGCAAAAAAAAAAAATATATAAAAAATACTATACATTATTCATTCAGCATAAATTATTAACATTCCAAAACAGTCACCATTAGTCAAATGTTACCAAAAATAACTGGAAATTATAAGATACAATGTGCCCTGTCACAATGTAACAGAAATGTTACTTAAAATATCTATGAAATTGCAGTTCAATCTACAAAGGTTATGTCACATTCCTTTCTTGTTAAAGGAACACTATAGGATACTATAGTGCTAGGAATACAAAGTTGTATTCCTAGCACAATACTTCCCTCAAGTGCCCCCTCCAGAAGTGTAAGGGTGGGTTAATAAACCCTTACTGTGCTTACCCAAATCCACTGTGGATCACCTTTGCCACTGGGTCAGCCATCCCCATAGGAAAGCATTTCCAAAAGTCACCCAGCAAGCAGGAAGTGCCTCCAGCAGCTGTCTGATAGCCACTAGAGGCAGTGATCTAGGTGCCTATAGTGTCCTCTTTAATCTGTTTTAACCCTGCAATGTAAAACATGCTCATTCTGCAGGAATGGAAATTATTTTTTTTGCAAGGATAACCTGCCTTTAGTGGCTGTCAAACTCACAAGCACTAGAGGCACTTCTGTGAAATAGTCTATTAAAAGTCCACTATTTCTATCAGATGGTCTCAGAGAGAATAAGATTGGTGCAGCATGGCGTTTCCTTCCATAGGAAAGTATTGGATGAGATCATCAATCCCGATAATCTCAGCTATAGAGGAGGAGCTTCACCAAAGAGATCAGCGCTTCAAGGGAGAAAAAGGTAAATAAACTGCAATTTGTAACCCTTGCAGCCGGGGTACAGTCAAAATAGATATCTCTTTTCCCAACGCTATAGTGTTCCTTTAAGTGCAGTGTTCACAACCTCAAAATAATAATTCCCAACAAATTACGGAATTACCATGGCCTGTGTGATCTTCTGTGTCCCATCTTTCACCAAGTTAGAAGGAACATAACATGTTGGTGATAAAGGTTTAGCCAAGTGCATCTCCTGATAGAGTGACTTTATTGTGGTGCCTCACCAATAGGAGTGCGATATATGCGGGCAATGAACTTTTAGGGTTAAACCAGAATGGACAAACTGAGTCAAAAATAACCAATTTGTCAACAACAGTATTATGGCCTCAGGCTGTTTCACAGTCTTACTTAGCAATATGCCTATTTGTGATGCTCTCCCCTTCCAAATCACCGGACACCTGACAGTAAAACCCCTGGAGAACATCTAAAACCCCGGTTGGGAGGTGATCCAAGCACAACTAGTTGCCTATTGCCATCTATCACCACACCTGATCTTATGCCCACATGGCTAGTCTCGTTAGCTATTAATTTTTTGGTTTGAGTTCAATTTACCCATTATATTAAAAAAAAAAATTAAAAAAAAAATTAAATACATTTTTTCAAAAAAAAAAGTACTCCTGCACTTACTCTTAGCTTGCCTTGTGTGTGCTTTCCAGACATGTTGAATCTCAAAGAATAAAAAATAAAATAAAAAGGGAAATAGCCAATTTGTGACTATGACTGAATTGGATAATTTCTCTAGATCAGCTATTTTTCCATTCAGATTTTATTTGTGAAAATACTGGAGCTCAGTGAATAACCCTGTGTGTGTGCGAATTTACAACATACCGAACGTGAAAGCAGGTAAGAGCTATAAAAGCACAAGAAAGAACAGCTTATCAACAAGCCAAGTAACAGCATCCGGTACTAGAGGGTGACAAGGAGATAAATGTAAAACACACAAGAATATCATGGGACTCCAACAGACAGACCAGGGAGAGGAGTACATTACATTAAAAGGGGGATCTTTAAATGCATTTGCCTACTGGGAAATAAACATTTCCTTACCCACTACATAGTTTCCATACAGCAGCTGTTCAATGATGGCAGTTTTTCCAACTGCCGCCGATCCGCAGACTACCACTTTGCTACCCTTTCCCATCGCACTCCAGGAAACGCTGTAAATAAATGTATATATTTTAAACATTTCTTTAAACACATTAACATGCAAATAATGCAGATACAAACTAGGTTTCATATGTTATCTTTCCAAATTTAGCCCCAACATGGCTGTTTGTGTTTGTTGTCGAACCTCCTGGATTGAGGTCAGCACTTTGTTAGTGGTGTTAAATTATATTTGTAACAATTCCTCCCAGGTAGGAACTATAGGTACAGTTGGAGTTGGTCAGCCATTGTTTTCTAAAGTGCCTTATCTTACCGCCAAGGTAGGTATTGTACTGTTGTTGCAGTCTACCTTGAGCATGTTTAAAGCTCCATACTTTGTAAGCGTGTGTTTTTGCTTCCATTATAAACTTACCATTTGGATTTACATTACTTTTATGGTTTCTGTTTATTGTTGTATTGCATTTAATCTATGCGTCTGGGTGTGTTTAGGATACAAAGACATGTATTAAAGCTCTGGTTCGTGTGAGAGGCAATTTCATGATCTGAATTTCCTCTCCTCTACTAAAGGAGGTCTTTAACATTGTTAGAGTAACATAGCACACCCTAATGATCTGGCCCTCCCTCAAGACCAAATACTTACCCTCTACTACAATCGCGAGACCTGCCTGACAACCCAGGTAGTCCCTCTGCAGCCAATCCATCCAAGTCATGATCACATGACTCAGACTGGCTGCCAGTCAGGTCCCCCAATATATAGTCAAAATAATTACATAAATATTAGCATCAAAATACACTTTGTGTATAATACATGTATATTAAAAACATATATAAAATTATACATACACAACATACTGTTTACAGGTATATATTATCAAAATACACTTTGAATAAATATAATATTTATTATGTACATATTTTAGTATAATTCATAACAGCCCAGCAGAAATACCACAGAATTTAATTTTCAAACGTTCGAAAACTGCATACAACCTTCACATGGGGGACATCATTGTACATCACAGCATGCAAATGTGTATTTTATTGCAGTGAAAGCTAACAGTTTTATAAAAAAAAAATAAAAAAAAAAATTCACAGTTAAAATGCCATGAAGAACTTGGAAAATAACATTTCTTAATTTCTTCTTTTAGGATTTTATTTATATTAAAATTAGGTTTAAATGCATAAATATTTGATGTAAAATGGAAGCCCTATTTCCCCTGAACAAAATTATATACAAATGTAGGTGCACCTAAAGAGATTTTCTAGTGCCAGGAAAACAAAGCCGTTTTCCTGGCACTGTAGAATCCTACAGTGCCCCCTCTCCAGGGCCGGCTTTACGCCATTAGGCGTCCTGTGCGAAAAGTGTTCACGGCGCCCCCCACCAAGTTGCCTGTATACAGTCACACACAGGCAGACAGTCACACATACTCCATTACAAGCAGTCAGTCATACACATTCACGCACGCTGATAGGCACACACACTCAGTTAAAGGCAGATAGTCATACATACAGGCACACACACAACGGCAAAGCTACAGCGACACACACACACACAACTGGAGTCACACATAGGCAGACAGTCACACACTGGCAGGCAGGCACACACCTCTTTCTATTGTGGCTGGAAGGGGGAGTGGATGCAGTTGGTTGTTTGTGAAGCAGGGACTTCTTCCCTCTTCCTGTGCAGCAGTTACCAGGAGCTTCAGGTAGGCAATAGCCCCGCCTCTGCCTCGTGATAAGCCCCACCCCCATTTAAATAGACCCGGGTGGAGAATAATTAATCCTCCACCCGGGTACCTGTTTTAGCTCCCCTGCACGCCTGTCACCCGGCCATGTGCGAGCTGTGTCGGCCACATGGCGCCCTGTGTGGCCGCACAGCTTGCACACCCCTTAGGCCAGCCCTGTCCCTCTCTTCACCCCCAATCCCACGTTGCTGAAGGGGTTAATCACTTATCTGAATCCAGCACCGATGTCCATCAGCGCTGGGTCTGGCTCCAACCACGCTCCTCCCCGCCAAGTCCGCTGGCTGGGGGAGACCTAATGCACATGCATAACTGCCGTGCTCACATTAAGATTTCCCTATAGGAAAGCATTACAGAACTCATACAATTGCCTGGGGTTAAAGTGTTACTCTAATCATCATGACCATTTCAGTTATTTGAAGTGGTCATTCTGTGCATATTTTGTCTGTCGTCAGTGCACACAGCAGAACGCCTGCAAGGGAAAGATTGTTTCCCCCTCCTGCAATTCCCCTCAGTAAATTTTTAATTTTTCCTGCCCTCTATAAGTGATTGGACCACGTGAGGGCCTGTGATATTGGAGAGGGCTCAGAAGCCGGGGCGACTTTCTCAATTGTGCCCACTAAGGCATGTTACACAAAAAAGGTTTCCCACCTCCCAACTTTGGACTATTATTTTAAATAGACAGGATGGGAGAGATATGTGCCAACAGCCTTGGCCCAGGTCCTCAGTAGTCCAGTCAACCTTAATAGCACAGCTGCAGGAACAGTTATAGAGGGTGTGAAGCTCCGTGCTGTTCCAGCTCCTCCAGGGTCTGTGTGTAAAGTTTGACAGGAAGTTGAAGGGATCACTTCCCATCTGCCCTCTAACACAGGAGGAGCAGGAACAGCAATGAGTGATGCACACTGTATAACCACTCCTGTACCTCTAATATTATCAGTCTGACTGGTCTACAGAAGAAATAGTAGGGTGAGTACTTTGCAAATGGTCCTTCAAACTCCAGCATTTAAAGCCTAAACCTGAAAATGAACCGCCTACTTTAACCCCTATTAAAAACTAAACACATTATGAACCCAAATACTAAATTTAACCCATTTCTATCCCTGAATTCAATACTCCTAAAGAGCCCTCATTCCACAACTGTAACCCAGCTCAAACTTTAATCCTCTTAAAGCGGCACTGCCCCCACCTGCAAACTGTGTATTTCAGAAAGATAAAGTCTGTTTTATTGAATTTCCAACCAAGTCAAAAGATATACTGAGACAAAGTAATGACTATTTTGTTTCAGTAGATTAAAATTTCCTACATCTGACACTTCTAGACACTGGGCAGAGGTACCGCCATCTAGAATTGTTAATCTGCCAGCCACCGCAGATATATTAGCTGTGTCTAATGGAGGATCCTGCCTGTGTATCGGGATCCTCCAAAGATCTCAATGATGTACTATCGCGCATGCGAGAAGAGGACTGGCCGGAAGAAGGAGGCAGGACCGCAAGGGACAAGTTCAGGTAAGTAACTCTCACCTTTCCATGCCCCCCTCCCCCCATAGTCACACTGTCACCATCAGGAGTCTTTGCAAATTATGTAAAGTCTACAAACTGTGACAGTGCCACTTTAACACTATGTAATATTAATGTTAAATTAACCCCTCACTAATCTTAAACCCCCTTTACAAACCTTCCAACATTGGCATTCCCAGAATCGGGACACTGGTGGGAGGAAAGTAAAGAGGGCAGGCCAGTGATGCAATTGTGTTATTGGCTTCTATATTACGGGCAGGTAAGCCTTGTGTGAATACACACCAGGCATGCTTCACTGTTTTAGTGCTCTCAGTAGGGTCCTAATGCCCTAATCATAGACCGAGGACTTCAAATGATGCGCTTGTGGTATGAATATTATGGACAGTTCCCTGGTTTCCCCAAATGCAGGACAACAGGCTACTAAGCCTGGGTGGAAGGATATGATCTGAAAAATCGGTACTGTCCTGACAAAATCAGGACAGTTGGAAGGCATGCATTTATCATAACCACTTCTAACATTGTCTTTAAACCTGCATGCATTTACACAGCTGCATACACCAACTAGACTTACAGATTCAAACAATACATTACAAGCAGCACAAATATGCACATACATGTTTGACCTGCAGTTTTCTTATCCATTATCCTTACTTTATCTGCTTTATTTTGGGGTTGGGGAGCATGGGGCACCACAATTTTGTGCCTACAGGCACCTGACATGTAAATTGGGCCCTGTATGCAGGCAGTAAGTTAAATTACATTAGGATTCCTCCTTGGATATTTATGACTTTTCTAAAAGAAAATAATATTTCTGTATTGACCTATTGTTTTGTGACCATTTGCATTATTTCCCAGATTATCTTCTACAAACATGTTATGATATAAATTCTCCATAATAACGATGGTACTAATAAACTTTTAGCAAACGTAATGCAGACAACTGTCTACCATCTTTTCCTATAGGAAATATTATTAAATTATAAAACTTTAGCTTTCAGCTCACCTCTCACTTTCTCTTGATTTAAAGAATAAAAAAGGCAAGCAACCCATCTGAAGATCTTTACCTCTAGGGTCTGAGTCAAACTTGCAACAGGAAGGAATTATCTCCCAAATCACCTGTTTCCCCTACACAGGTGTTTATTCATGTTATATAACAGGCTAGTTAATCCCAGCCTCCTATGGGACAAACTACTTCTAGTGAGTGTCACATGCGAATATTTCCCTGCAGTATGTAGCATTCACATGCTGTAGGAAGGAAATCGGTCAGGATTATTCACTAAAGTGAGACTTGTTGGGAAATGACATGGAATTTCGAATCAAAGTTCAAGATAGCTGAACTGGAAAAATGTAACAATGGAGCAATCTTCCACTTTAGCTAATTTGGCTTTAAATTAGAAATTAACTTGGATTTCACTTTGATTTCCAGACAATTGTCCCATTTGTAAATAACCCTGACAGAGCTAAGATGTGGTTATGGTTAAAGGGGCACTATAGGCACCCAGACCACTTCAGATCATTGAAGTGGTCTGGGTGCAGTGTTCCAGGTCCCTTAACTCTACAATGGTAATTATTGCCGTTTTTGATTACCTGCCAGGGTTTACTCCTCTAGGGTTAACTCCACCTCCAGGAGCTGTCTATCAGACAGCCACTAGAGGGACTTTTGGTCACCCGACGCAGGCCATCCACATGCTGTACATGAGGATATCCAGAGTCACCCAAAGCCCCACAATGCTTTCCTATAGGGCTGTTCTAATGCGAGTGTGGCTGTCGCTGCGCAT